AGGCTCAACAGTCTCAACTGCAGCTCCAGGCTCAACAGTCTCAACAGCAGCTCCAGGCTCAACAGTCTCAACTGCAGCTCCAGGCTCAACAGTCTCAACAGCAGCGCCAGGCTCAACAGCAGCTCCAGGCTCAACAGTCTCAACAGCAGCTCCAGGCTCAACAGTCTCAACATCAGCGCCAGGCTCAACAGTCTCAACAGCAGCTCCAGGCTCAACAGTCTCAACTGCAGCTCCAGGCTCAACAGTCTCAACATCAGCGCCAGGCTCAACAGTCTCAACAGCAGCTCCAGGCTCAACAGTCTCAACAGCAGCTCCAGGCTCAACAGTCTCAACAGCAGCGCCAGGCTCAACAGTCTCAACTGCAGCTCCAGGCTCAACAGTCTCAACTGCAGCGCCAGGCTCAACAGTCTCAACTGCAGCTCCAGGCTCAACAGTCTCAACAGCAGCTCCAGGCTCAACAGTCTCAACTGCAGCTCCAGGCTCAACAGTCTCAACAGCAGCGCCAGGCTCAACAGTCTCAACAGCAGCTCCAGGCTCAACAGTCTCAACAGCAGCTCCAGGCTCAACAGTCTCAACAGCAGCTCCAGGCTCAACAGTCTCAACTGCAGCTCCAGGCTCAACAGTCTCAACTGCAGCTCCAGGCTCAACAGTTTCAACTGCAGCTCCAGGCTCAACAGTCTCAACTGCAGCTCCAGGCTCAACAGTCTCAACGGCAGCTCCAGGCTCAACAATCTCAACGGCAGCTCCAGGCTCAACAGTCTCAACGGCAGCTCCAGGCTCAACAGTCTCAACGGCAGCTCAAGGCTCAACAGTCTCAACAGCAGCTCCAGGCTCAACAGTCTCAACAGCAGCGCCAGGCTCAACAGTCTCAACAACAGCACCAGGCTCAACAGTCTCAACAACAGCACCAGGCTCAACAGTCTCAACGGCAGCTCCAGGCTCAACAGTCTCAACGGCAGCTCCAGGCTCAACAGTCCCAACGGCAGCTCCAGGCTCAACAGTCTCAACAGCAGCGCCAGGCTCAACAGTCTCAACAACAGCACCAGGCTCAACAGTCTCAACAACAGCACCAGGCTCAACAGTCTCAACCACAGCTCCAGGCTCAACAGTCTCAACAGCAGCTCCAGGCTCAACAGTCTCAACGGCAGCTCCAGGCTCAACAGTCTCAACTGCAGCTCCAGGCTCAACAGTCTCAACAGCAGCTCCAGGCTCAACAGTCTCAACAGCAGTGCCAGGCTCAACAGTCTCAACAGCAGCGCCAGGCTCAACAGTCTCAACAACAGCTCCAGGCTCAACAGTCTCAACAGCAGCGCCTGAGTCAACGGTCTCAACGGCAGCTCTAGGCTCAACGGTCTCAACAGCAGCTCCAGGCTCAACGGTCTCAACAGCAGCTCCAGGCTCAACTGTCTCAACAACTGCTCCAGGCTCAACAGTCTCAACAACAGCTCCAGGCTCAACGGTCTCAACAGCTGCTCCAGGCTCAACAGTCTCAACAGCTGCTCCAGGCTCAACAGTCTCAACAGCAGCTCCAGGCTCAACAGTCTCAACAGCAGCGCCAGGCTCAACAGTCTCAACTGCAGCTCCAGGCTCAACAGTCTCAACTGCAGCGCCAGGCTCAACAGTCTCAACTGCAGCTCCAGGCTCAACAGTCTCAACAGCAGCTCCAGGCTCAACAGTCTCAACTGCAGCTCCAGGCTCAACAGTCTCAACAGCAGCGCCAGGCTCAACAGTCTCAACAGCAGCTCCAGGCTCAACAGTCTCAACAGCAGCTCCAGGCTCAACAGTCTCAACATCAGCGCCAGGCTCAACAGTCTCAACAGCAGCTCCAGGCTCAACAGTCTCAACTGCAGCTCCAGGCTCAACAGTCTCAACATCAGCGCCAGGCTCAACAGTCTCAACAGCAGCTCCAGGCTCAACAGTCTCAACTGCAGCTCCAGGCTCAACAGTCTCAACAGCAGCTCCAGGCTCAACAGTCTCAACTGCAGCTCCAGGCTCAACAGTCTCAACTGCAGCTCCAGGCTCAACAGTTTCAACTGCAGCTCCAGGCTCAACAGTCTCAACTGCAGCTCCAGGCTCAACAGTCTCAACAGCAGCACCAGGCTCAACAGTCTCAACAGCACCTCCAAGCTCAACAGTTTCAACGGCAGCGCCAGGCTCAACAGTCTCAACAGCAGCTCCAGGCTCAACAGTTTCAACAGCTGCTCCAGGCTCAACAGTCTCAACAGCAGCTCCAGGCTCAACAGTCTCAACAGCAGCGCCAGGCTCAACAGTCTCAACTGCAGCTCCAGGCTCAACAGTCTCAACTGCAGCGCCAGGCTCAACAGTCTCAACTGCAGCTCCAGGCTCAACAGTCTCAACAGCAGCTCCAGGCTCAACAGTCTCAACTGCAGCTCCAGGCTCAACAGTCTCAACAGCAGCGCCAGGCTCAACAGCAGCTCCAGGCTCAACAGTCTCAACAGCAGCTCCAGGCTCAACAGTCTCAACATCAGCGCCAGGCTCAACAGTCTCAACAGCAGCTCCAGGCTCAACAGTCTCAACTGCAGCTCCAGGCTCAACAGTCTCAACATCAGCGCCAGGCTCAACAGTCTCAACAGCAGCTCCAGGCTCAACAGTCTCAACTACAGCTCCAGGCTCAACAGTCTCAACAGCAGCTCCAGGCTCAACAGTCTTAACTGCAGCTCCAGGCTCAACAGTCTCAACTGCAGCTCCAGGCTCAACAGTTTCAACTGCAGCTCCAGGCTCAACAGTCTCAACTGCAGCTCCAGTCTCAACTGCAGCTCCAGGCTCAACAGTCTCAACAGCAGCACCAGGCTCAACAGTCTCAACAGCACCTCCAAGCTCAACAGTTTCAACGGCAGCGCCAGGCTCAACAGTCTCAACAGCAGCTCCAGGCTCAACAGTTTCAACAGCAGCTCCAGGCTCAACAGTCTCAACTGCAGCTCCAGGCTCAACAGTTTCAACTGCAGCTCCAGGCTCAACAGTCTCAACTGCAGCTCCAGGCTCAACAGTCTCAACAGCAGCACCAGGCTCAACAGTCTCAACAGCAGCTCCAGGCTCAACAGTTTCAACGGCAGCGCCAGGCTCAACAGTTTCAACGGCAGCTCCAGGCTCAACAGTCTCAACAGCAGCACCAGGCTCAACAGTCTCAACAGCAGCTCCAGGCTCAACAGTCTCAACAGCAGCTCCAGGCTCAACAGTTTCAACGGCAGCGCCAGGCTCAACAGTTTCAACGGCAGCTCCAGGCTCAACAGTCTCAACAGCAACACCAGGCTCAACAGTCTCAACAGCAGCACCAGGCTCAACAGTCTCAACAGCAGCTCCAGGCTCAACAGTTTCAACGGCAGCGCCAGGCTCAACAGTTTCAACGGCAGCGCCAGGCTCAACAGTCTCAACAGCAGCTCCAGGCTCAACAGTCTCAACAGCAGCTCCAGGCTCAACAGTTTCAACGGCAGCGCCAGGCTCAACAGTTTCAACGGCAGCGCCAGGCTCAACAGTCTCAACAGCAGCGCTAGGCTCAACAGTCTCAACAGCAGCTCCAGGCTCAACAGTTTCAACGGCAGTGCCAGGCTCAACAGTCTCAACAGCAGCGCCAGGCTCAACAGTCTCAACAGCAGCTCCAGGCTCAACAGTCTCAACAGCAGCTCCAGGCTCAACAGTCTCAACAGCAGCACCAGGCTCAACAGTCTCAACAGCAGCGGCAGGCTCAACAGTCTCAACAGCAGCTCCAGGCTCAACAGTTTCAACGGCAGCGCCAGGCTCAACAGTCTCAACAGCAGCGTCAGGCTCAACAGTCTCAACAGCAGCACCAGGCTCAACAGTCTCAACGGCAGCTCTAGGCTCAACAGTCTCAACTGCAGCGCCAGGCTCAACAGTCTCAACAGCAGTGCCAGGCTCAACAGTCTCAACAACAGCACCAGGCTCAACAGTCTCAACGGCAGCTCCAGGCTCAACAGTCTCAACAGCAGCGCCAGGCTCAACAGTCTCAACGGCAGTGCCAGGCTCAACGGTCTCAACAACAGCTCCAGGCTCAACGGTCTCAACGGCAGCTCCAGGCTCAACGGTCTCAACAACAGCTCCAGGCTCAACGGTCTCAACAACAGCTCCAGGCTCAACAGTCTCAACGGCAGCTCCAGGCTCAACAGTCTCAACAACAGCACCAGGCTCAACCGTCTCAACAGCAGCGCCAGGCTCAACAGTCTCAACACCAGCTCCAGGCTCAACAGTCTCAACTGCAGCTCCAGGCTCAACAGTCTCAACAGCAGCTCCAGGCTCAACAGTCTCAACTGCAGCTCCAGGCTCAACAGTATCAACAGCAGCTCCAGGCTCAACAGTCTCAACTGCAGCTCCAGGCTCAACAGTCTCAACAGCAGCTCCAGGCTCAACAGTCTCAACAGCAGCTCCAGGGTCAACGTTCTCAACAGCAGCTCCAGGCTCAACAGTCTCAACAGCTGCTCCAGGCTCAACAGTCTCAACACCACTCGGAACTGCACCTTCATCAACATCACCAATTTCACAAGCAATCACAGCCACAGTTGCAACAGCCACTTCAACAGCAGGTTATGTGTCTCAAGCAAGCTCACAAACTTCAACAGCCCCATTAATATCCTCAGCAGTCACTGCGGCTGCCTCTCCCACACCATCGACACCAACATCACATTCAGTAGCAGTGTCTTCCTACTCTACAGCTGGGCCAAGCTCAGTAACAGCTCCATCAACAGCTGTGAAAATCACGCTTTCATCTCCACCAGGTATTAAAATGTTTGCAGGCAACAGCAGCCCACCATCTCACTACAATATCGCTTCCAAAATGTTTTACATACTAGCCACGTTCACACAAATCCTGCACCAAACATCAACAGTCTAAACAACAATAACAAAACAATAATAAAACGCAAACTTCATCATGTCCAACATTACAATAATAACATTTTCAGAATTTTAAGATTATTAGCAACTGCCAATGTTGCATTTGTTGATGTTTTACAATTTACTTCTTGCAGGATCCACAACAGCGATAACAACGACAATCCTTACCTCTTCAAGTCCTCAGACTATTTCCGAAGGTAAAAACATTTCTGGACGTGAACGTGCCTCTTAATGCTTTGTCACTGATGCTGAACAAGATAACTGGCAGAGGCTGGCATTCAACATTTCTCCCAATGATTTAGCCTTTGGTTGTCAGTGAAACATATTGAAAACAATATTCCATACGTAATATATATGTAGAGTGCGATGAGAGGGGGTTATAATGAGAGGAGGGGGGAGAGGTGTGAGAGTGCAAGGATGAGAGTAACGTGAGATGAGAGCGGAGAGGTAGTCAGGTTCGAGTCAAGCGAGGATCTTAAAGATTATTGATACATTCATAACCATTTCTCAGCTGCCCTATTTCCTCGGGTCACCAATGTCACAAAAAGTATCCTATGGTCTGTGAACTCAGGTCAGGACATTGCAGCTTATATGGCATGCCCACTTCCCTCCCTATAAATTTTAATTAAGTTTTATTCATATAATTTTTTACATGTATGTTGAACTTCTTTTGCACCGTACGGAGCCAACCGTGCTAATTGTAGGTGCAGGGGAAGTGATTTGTTTACCTTTCCTATACTTCACACTCCTATCATGTTTTGTAATGTTTATTGTTGTAACGTTTTGACCAGTTTAACACGTAGGCTGCCGCGGCCAATATCATCCATAATATAGGGGTTTTTTTGTTGGGTAAGATTGCGTAAATATAAATGTGTCTTTAAACCCAACACCACCCAACACACCCAATTAGAAAGGTGTGTCACGTAAATAGAACATGCCAATTGATTACTAGTACAGCACACCAGTGTGTTGGAGAGCAAATACACAACATTTACAAGTCCCGACTGAACATCTGTGAAAATAACTTCACAACTTATTGTATTTCTTCCAGTATAAATACATATTCTGTTTAAGGGTGATACATAATTTTAACTTGTTCTATCTCTTTTTACCAAAGCGACATTGGTCCCTGTGACAAATGCACCAATCAACGCAGTGAAGACAACAACCTCATCTCCAAGCACAGGTAAACGTGCATCCATCAAAGTTGATGATGTTTGAGGTGGGTAGGTGGCTAATAATGTGTCGCAGACGCTGAGTCGGCACCGCCGAGATCCTGGGTTCTAACCTGGGTTTCAGCCACACAACCAAAGTGGGTTCTGAAGCGAAATGCGTTTATCAGTCACAAATTACTTATGCAGACTTACGCATCGACCAGAAACCATCCTTAATCTCCCAGTGCATTCATCAAATCAAATGTAACATGGCTATGCTATATAAATTACATGAAATGGGTTCACATGAACGCTGTAGTCACTAGAGAAGCACTAGCATTGACCACAATTTTGAAAAACAGAGAATGGAGTCTTGAATAGAATTTAATAGAACTTGGTTTTTCACAGTTGTGCTGCACAGCTCTCCGATATGTATTCAAAATGTGCTTCTGTATTTTGTACTACCCATTGATCAACCAATAATTAAGTGGTTAGATGTTCCGCGAAAATAAGGTTCTAAGTGGAATGTGGAAAATGCTTAATATTCCATTTGTATTCATACTCCTAACGCTATGCAAAAATTAAAACTTTTCAGGCACAACTGCAAAAACAACAACAGCTCCTAGCCCAACAAACTCACCACCAATAACCACAATAGGCACATCAACTACAACAGCAAAAATATTAACAAGCCAGTCTTCCATGGCAATAGTAGGACCCATATCATCAGCCACAACGCCACCAACAGTCGCACTAATCACAACAATAACGGCAACTGCAGCGTCATCAGCCTCAACAGCAGCGCCAGGCTCAACAGTCTTAACAGCGGCTCCAGGCTCAACAGTCTCAACGGCAGCTACAGGCTCAACAGTCTCAACAACAGCACCAGGCTCAACAGTCTCAACTGCAGCTCCAGGCTCAACAATCTCAACAGCAGCTCCAGGCTCAACAGTCTCAACAGCAGCGCCAGGCTCAACAGTCTCAACAGCAGCTCCAGGCTCAACAGTTTCAACTGCAGGTCCAGGATCAACAGTCTCAACAGCAGCTCCAGGCTCAACAGTCTCAACAGCAGCTCCAGGCTCAACAGTCTCAACAGCAGGTCCAGGCTCAACAGTCTCAACAGCAGCTCCAGGCTCAACAGTCTCAACAGCAGCTACAAGCTCAACAGTCTCAACTGCAGCTCCAGGTTCAACAGTCTCAACTGCAGCTCCAGGCTCAACAGTCTCAACAGCAGCTCCAGGCTCAACAGCCTCAACAGCAGCTCCAGGCTCAACAGTCTCAACAGCAGCTACAGGCTCAACAATCTCAACAGCTGCTCCAGGCTCAACAGTCTCAACAGCAGCTCCAGGCTCAACAGTCTCAACGGCAGCTCCAGGCTCAACAGTCTCAACAGCAGCTCCAGGCTCAACAGTCTCAACAGCAGCGCCAGGCTCAACAGTCTCAACAGCAGCGCCAGGCTCAACTGTCTCAACAGCAGCGCCAGGCTCAACAGTTTCAACAGCAGCGCCAGGCTCAACAGTCTCAACAGCAGCACCAGGCTCAACAGTCTCAACAGCAGCGCCAGGCTCAACAGTATCAACAGCAGCTCCAGGCTCAACAGTCTCAACGGCAGCTCCAGGCTCAACAGTCTCAACAGCAGCGCCAGGCTCAACAGTCTCAACAGCAGCGCCAGGCTCAACAGTTTCAACAGCAGCGCCAGGCTCAACAGTCTCAACAGCAGCACCAGGCTCAACAGTCTCAACAGCAGCGCCAGGCTCAACAGTCTCAACAGCAGCTCCAGGCTCAACAGTCTCAACAGCAGCGCCAGGCTCAACTGTCTCAACAGCAGCGCCAGGCTCAACAGTTTCAACAGCAGCCGCAGGCTCAACAGTCTCAACAGCAGCTCCAGGCTCAACAGTCTCAACAACAGCTCCAGGCTCAACAGTCTCAACAGCAGCTCCAGGCTCGACAGTCTCAACTGCAGCTCCAGGCTCAACAGTCTCAACTGCAGCAACAGGCTCAACAGTCTCAACAACAGCTCCAGGCTCAACAGTCTCAACAGCAGCAACAGGCTCAACAGTCTCAACTGCAGCGCCAGGCTCAACAGTCTCAACTGCAGCTCCAGGCTCAACAGTCTCAACAGCAGCTCCAGGCTCAACAGTCTCAACTGCAGCTCCAGGCTCAACAGTCTCAACAGCAGCGCCAGGCTCAACAGCAGCTCCAGGCTCAACAGTCTCAACAGCAGCTCCAGGCTCAACAGTTTCAACTGCAGGTCCAGGATCAACAGTCTCAACAGCAGCTCCAGGCTCAACAGTCTCAACAGCAGCTCCAGGCTCAACAATCTCAACAGCAGCTCCAGGCTCAACAGTCTCAACAGCAGCGCCAGGCTCAACAGTCTCAACAGCAGCTCCAGGCTCAACAGTTTCAACTGCAGGTCCAGGATCAACAGTCTCAACAGCAGCTCCAGGCTCAACAGTCTCAACAGCAGCTCCAGGCTCAACAGTCTCAACAGCAGGTCCAGGCTCAACAGTCTCAACAGCAGCTCCAGGCTCAACAGTCTCAACAGCAGCTACAAGCTCAACAGTCTCAACTGCAGCTCCAGGTTCAACAGTCTCAACTGCAGCTCCAGGCTCAACAGTCTCAACAGCAGCTCCAGGCTCAACAGCCTCAACAGCAGCTCCAGGCTCAACAGTCTCAACAGCAGCTACAGGCTCAACAATCTCAACAGCTGCTCCAGGCTCAACAGTCTCAACAGCAGCTCCAGGCTCAACAGTCTCAACGGCAGCTCCAGGCTCAACAGTCTCAACAGCAGCTCCAGGCTCAACAGTCTCAACAGCAGCGCCAGGCTCAACAGTCTCAACAGCAGCGCCAGGCTCAACTGTCTCAACAGCAGCGCCAGGCTCAACAGTTTCAACAGCAGCGCCAGGCTCAACAGTCTCAACAGCAGCACCAGGCTCAACAGTCTCAACAGCAGCGCCAGGCTCAACAGTATCAACAGCAGCTCCAGGCTCAACAGTCTCAACGGCAGCTCCAGGCTCAACAGTCTCAACAGCAGCGCCAGGCTCAACAGTCTCAACAGCAGCGCCAGGCTCAACAGTCTCAACAGCAGCGCCAGGCTCAACAGTCTCAACAGCAGCACCAGGCTCAACAGTCTCAACAGCAGCGCCAGGCTCAACAGTCTCAACAGCAGCTCCAGGCTCAACAGTCTCAACAGCAGCGCCAGGCTCAACTGTCTCAACAGCAGCGCCAGGCTCAACAGTTTCAACAGCAGCCGCAGGCTCAACAGTCTCAACAGCAGCTCCAGGCTCAACAGTCTCAACAACAGCTCCAGGCTCAACAGTCTCAACAGCAGCTCCAGGCTCGACAGTCTCAACTGCAGCTCCAGGCTCAACAGTCTCAACTGCAGCAACAGGCTCAACAGTCTCAACAACAGCTCCAGGCTCAACAGTCTCAACAGCAGCAACAGGCTCAACAGTCTCAACAGCAGCTCCAGGCTCAACAGTCTCAACAGCAGCTCCAGGCTCAACAGTCTCAACTGCAGCTCCAGGCTCAACAGTCTCAACTGCAGCAACAGGCTCAACAGTCTCAACAGCAGCTCCAGGCTCAACAGTCTCAACTGCAGCTCCAGGCTCAACAGTCTCAACAGCAGCGCCAGGCTCAACAGTCTCAACAGCAGCTCCAGGCTCAACAGTCTCAACTGCAGCTCCAGGCTCAACAGTCTCAACAGCAGTGCCAGGCTCAACAGTCTCAACAGCAGCTCCAGGCTCAACAGTCTCAACTGCAGCTACAGGCTCAACAGTCTCAACTGCAGCACCAGGCTCAACTATCTCAACTGCAGTGCCAGGCTCAACAGTCTCAACAGCAGCGTCAGGCTCAACAATCACAACAGCAGCGCCAGGATCAACAGTCTCAACAGCAGCTCCAGGCTCAACAGTCTCAACTGCCGCTCCAGGCTCAACAGTCTCAACAGCAGCTCCAGGCTCAACAGTCTCAACTGCAGCTCCAGGCTCAACAGTCTCAACAGCAGCTCCAGGCTCCACAGTCTCAACAGCAGCTCCAGGCTCAACAGTCTCAACTGCAGCTCCAGGCTCAACAGTCTCAACAGCAGCACCAGGCTCCACAGTCTCAACAGCAGCTACAGTCTCAACAGCAGCTCCAGGCTCAACCGCCTCAACACCACTCGGAACTGCACCTTCATCAACATCACAAGCAATCACAGCCACAGTTGCTACAGCCACTTCAACAGCAGGTTACGTGTTTCCAGCAAGCTCACAAACTTCAACAGCCCCATTAGTATCCTCAGCAATCACTGCAGCTGCCTCTCCCACACCATCGACACCAACGTCACATTCGGTAGCAGTGTCTTCCTCCTCTACAGCTGGGCCAAGCTCAGTAACAGCTCCATCAACAGCTGTGAAAATTACGCTTTCATCTTCACCAGGTATTAAAATGTTTGCAGGCAACAGCAGCCCACCATCTCACTACAATATCGCTTGCAAAATGTTTTACATACTAGCCACATTCACACAAATCCTGCACCAAACAACAAAAGCCTAAACAACAATAATAAAACAATCATAGAACGCAAACTTCATCATGTCCAACATTACAATAATACAATTTTCAGAATTTTAAGATTATTAGCCACTGCCAATGTTGCATTTGTTGATGTTTTACATTTTACTTCTTGCAGGATCCACAACAGCGATAAAAACGACAATCCTTACCTCTTCAAGTCCTCAGACTATTTCCGAAGGTAAAAACATTTCTGGACGTGAACGTGCCTCTTAACGCTTTGTCACTGATGCTGAACAAGATAACTGGCAGAGGCTGGCATTCAACATTTCTCCCAATGATTTAGCCTTTGGTTGTCATTGAAACATATTGAAATCAACATTCCACACGTAGTATATATGTAGAGTGCGATTAAAGGCGATTCTAATGAGATACGGGGGAGAGGTGTGAGAGTGCAAGGGTGAGAGTAGAGTGAGATGAGAGCAGAGAGGTATTCAGGGCAGAGTCAGGCGAAGATTTTAAAGATTAAGGATGAATTCATGAACATTTCTCAGCTCCCCTATTTCCCGAGGTCAGCAATGTCACAAAGACTATCCTGACGTCTGTGGAATCAGTGCAGGACATTGCAGCTTGTATTCCATGCCCACTTCCCTCCCTATAAAAAAAATTTGCATTTTTAAGAATGTAAGTTGAATTCTGTCACACTGCACGTAGCCAACAGTGCTAATCGGAGGTGCAGGGGAAGTGATTTGATTACCTTTCCTATACTTTGCACTCCGATCGTGTTTGTATTGTTTGTTGTTGTACCGTTCTGACCTGCCCCCGAGTGAACATATGTGAAAAAAAGCTTCATAGCTCATCGGATTTCCTTCAGTAAAATTAATATTCTGTTTCTATCACCCTTACCCTACTGAAAACCAGTTTTAACTTGTGTTTTTCTCTTTTTACCAAAGGTACAATCATATCTGTGACAAATGCACCAATCAACGCAGGGAAGACAACAACCTCAACTACAAGCACAGGTAAAAACGTGCATCCTTCAAGGTCGATCATGTTTGAAGTGGTCGGGTGGCTAATAATGTGTCGCAGACAATCATAATTAAAGTGGGTTCTCAAGCATAATACGTTGATGGTTTTAACCAAGTCACCAAAAACTTACGCAAACTTATGCATCGACGAGTAACCATCCCTAATCTCCCAATCCATTCATCAAATCAGATGTTACGAGGCTATGCTATATATATTACATGCAATGGGTTCACGTGAACTCTGTTGCCTGACGGGAGAGGCACTAACATTAACAAGAATGTTGAAAAACAGAGAATGGATATTTGAAGAGAACTTGGGTTTTCACGGTTGTGCTGCATTGCTCTCCGATAGGTTTTCAGGGTGTGCCTCTGTGTGTTGTAAACCCCATTGATCAACCAATAATTAACTGATTAAATGTTCCTATAAACAATGTTTTAAGCGGAGTATGACGAATGCATGACATTGTATTTGTATGAATATCACTAACACTGCAAATATAAAAACCTTTCAGGCACAACTTCAAAGACATCAACAGTTCCTAGCCTCACAAACTCAACACAAATAACCACAATAAGCACATTAACTACAACAACAGCAGCAACAGCAGCAATAATATTAGCAAGCCAGTCTTCCACAGCAACAGTAGCCACAACGCCACCAACAGGCTCAACAGTTTCAACTGCAGGTCCAGGATCAACAGTCTCAACAGCAGCTCCAGGATCAACTGTCTCAACAGCAGCTTCAGGCTCAACAGTCTCAACAGCAGCTCCAGGCTCAACTGTTTCAACAGCAGCTCCAGGCTCAACAGTCTCAACAGCAGCGCCAGGCTCAACAGTCTCAACAGCAGCTCCAGGCTCAACAGTCTCAACTGCAGCTCCAGGCTCAACAGTCTCAACAGCAGTTCCAGGCTCAACAGTCTCAACTGCAGCTCCAGGCTCAACAGTCTCAACAGCAGCTCCAGGCTCAACAGTCTCAACTGCAGCTCCAGGCTCAACGGTCTCAACAGCAGCACCAGGCTCAACAGTCTCAACGGCAGCTCCAGGCTCAACAGTCTCAATTGCAGCTCCAGGCTCAACAGTCTCAACAGCAGCTCAAGGCTCAACAGTCTCAACTGCAGCTCCAGGCTCAACAGTCTCAACTGTAGCTCCAGGCTCGACAGTCTCAACTGCAGCTCCAGGCTCAACAGTCTCAACTGCAGCTCCAGGCTCAACGGTCTCAACTGCAACTCCAGGCTCAACAGTCTCAACGGCAGCTCCAGGCTCAACAGTCTCAACAGCAGCTCCAGGCTCAACAGTCTCAACGGCAGCTCCAGGCTCAACAGTCTCAACGGCAGCTCCAGGCTCAACAGTCTCAACAGCAGCGCCAGGCTCAACAGTCTCAACAGCAGCTCCAGGCTCAACAGTCTCAACGGCAGCTCCAGGCTCAACAGTCTCAACAGCAGCTCCAGGCTCAACAGTCTCAACAGCAGCTCCAGGCTCAACAGTCTCAACAGCAGCGCCAGGCTCAACAGTCTCAACAGCAGCTCCAGGCTCAACAGTCTCAACTGCAGCTCCAGGCTCAACAGTCTCAACGGCAGCTCCAGGCTCAACAGTCTCAACTGCAGCTCCAGGCTCAACGGTCTCAACAGCAGCACCAGGCTCAACAGTCTCAACGGCAGCACCAGGCTCAACAGTCTCAACGGCAGCTCCAGGCTCAACGGTCTCAACAGCAGCGCCAGGCTCAACAGTCTCAACGGCAGCACCAGGCTCAACAGTCTCAACGGCAGCTCCAGGCTCAACGGTCTCAACAGCAGCACCAGGCTCAACAGTCTCAACGGCAGCACCAGGCTCAACAGTCTCAACGGCAGCTCCAGGCTCAACGGTCTCAACAGCAGCACCAGGCTCAACAGTCTCAACTGCAGCTCCAGGCTCAACAGTCTCAACGGCAGCTCCAGGCTCAACAGTCTCAACTGCAGCTCCAGGCTCAACGGTCTCAACAGCAGCACCAGGCTCAACAGTCTCAACGGCAGCACCAGGCTCAACGGTCTCAACAGCAGCACCAGGCTCAACAGTCTCAACAGCAGCACCAGGCTCAACAGTCTCAACGGCAGCACCAGGCTCAGCAGTCTCAACAGCAGCTCAAGGCTCAACAGTCTCAACTGCAGCTCCAGGCTCAACAGTCTCAACTGTAGCTCCACCCTCGACAGTCTCAACTGCAGCTCCAGGCTCAACAGTCTCAACTGCAGCTCCAGGCTCAACGGTCTCAACTGCAACTCCAGGCTCAACAGTCTCAACGGCAGCTCCAGGCTCAACAGTCTCAACAGCAGCACCAGGCTCAACAGTCTCAACAGCGGCTCCAGGCTCAACAGTCTCAACAGCAGCTCCAGGCTCAACGGTCTCAACTGCAGCTCCAGGCTCAACGGTCTCAACTGCAGCTCCAGGCTCAACAGTCTCAACAGCAGCGCCAGGCTCAACAGTCTCAACGGCAGCTCCAGGCTCAACAGTCTCAACGGCAGCTCCAGGCTCAACAGTCTCAACAGCAGCACCAGGCTCAACAGTCTCAACAGCGGCTCCAGGCTCAACAGTCTCAACAGCAGCTCCAGGCTTAACGGTCTCAACTGCAGCTCCAGGCTCAACAGTCTCAACATCAGCGCCAGGCTCAACAGTCTCAACGGCAGCTCCAGGCTCAACAGTCTCAACAGCAGCGCCAGGCTCAACAGTCTCAACGGCAGCTCCAGGCTCAACAGTCTCAACAGCAGCTCCAGGCTCAACAGTCTCAACAGCAGCTCCAGGCTCAACAGTCTCAACATCAGCGCCAGGCTCAACAGTCTCAACGGCAGCTCCAGGCTCAACAGTCTCAACGGCAGCTCCAGGCTCAACAGTCTCAACAGCAGCGCCAGGCTCAACAGTCTCAACAGCAGCTCCAGGCTCAACAGTCTCAACGGCAGCTCCAGGCTCAACAGTCTCAACAGCAGCGCCAGGCTCAACAGTCTCAACTGCAGCTCCAGGCTCAACAGTCTCAACAGCAGCTCCAGGCTCAACAGTCTCAACTGCAGCTCCAGGCTCAACAGTCTCAACAGCAGCTCCAGGATCAACTGTCTCAACAGCAGCTCCAGGATCAACTGTCTCAACAGCAGCTCCAGGCTCAACAGTCTCAACAGCAGCTCCAGGATCAACTGTCTCAACAGCAGCTCCAGGCTCAACAGTCTCAACAGCAGCTCCAGGCTCAACAGTCTCAACAGCAGCTCCAGGCTCAACAGTCTCAACAGCAGCTCCAGGATCAACTGTCTCAACAGCAGCTCCAGGCTCAACAGTCTCAACGGCAGCTCCAGGCTCAACAGTCTCAACAGCAGCTCCAGGCTCAACAGTCTCAACAGCAGCTCCAGGCTCAACAGTCTCAACAGCAGCTCCAGGATCAACTGTCTCAACAGCAGCTCCAGGATCAACTGTCTCAACAGCAGCTCCAGGCTCAACGGTCTCAACAGCAGCTCCAGGATCAACTGTCTCAACAGCAGCTCCAGGCTCAACAGTCTCAACAGCAGCTCCAGGATCAACTGTCTCAACAGCAGCTCCAGGCTCAACAGTCTCAACAGCAGCTCCAGGCTCAACTGTCTCAACTGCAGCTCTAGGCTCAACAGTCTCAACAGCAGCTCCAGGCTCAACAGTCTCAACTGCAGCTCTAGGCTCAACAGTCTCAACAGCAGCGCCAGGCTCAACAGTCTCAACAGCAGCTCCAGGCTCAACAGTCTCAACAGCAGCTCCAGGATCAACTGTCTCAACAGCAGCTCCAGGCTCAACAGTCTCAACTGCAGCTCTAGGCTCAACAGTCTCAACTGCAGCTCTAGGCTCAACAGTCTCAACTGCAGCTCTAGGCTCAACAGTCTCAACAGCAGCTCCAGGCTCAACAGTCTCAACAGCAGCTCCAGGCTCAACAGTCTCAACTGCAGCTCCAGGCTCAACAGTCTCAACTGCAGCAACAGGCTCAACAGTCTCAACAGCAGCTCCAGGCTCAACAGTCTCAACTGCAGCTCCAGGCTCAACAGTCTCAACAGCAGCGCCAGGCTCAACAGTCTCAACAGCAGCTCCAGGCTCAACAGTCTCAACTGCAGCTCCAGGCTCAACAGTCTCAACAGCAGTGCCAGGCTCAACAGTCTCAACAGCAGCTCCAGGCTCAACAGTCTCAACTGCAGCTACAGGCTCAACAGTCTCAACTGCAGCACCAGGCTCAACTATCTCAACTGCAGTGCCAGGCTCAACAGTCTCAACAGCAGCGTCAGGCTCAACAATCACAACAGCAGCGCCAGGATCAACAGTCTCAACAGCAGCTCCAGGCTCAACAGTCTCAACTGCCGCTCCAGGCTCAACAGTCTCAACAGCAGCTCCAGGCTCAACAGTCTCAACTGCAGCTCCAGGCTCAACAGTCTCAACAGCAGCTCCAGGCTCCACAGTCTCAACAGCAGCTCCAGGCTCAACAGTCTCAACTGCAGCTCCAGGCTCAACAGTCTCAACAGCAGCACCAGGCTCCACAGTCTCAACAGCAGCTACAGTCTCAACAGCAGCTCCAGGCTCAACCGCCTCAACACCACTCGGAACTGCACCTTCATCAACATCACAAGCAATCACAGCCACAGTTGCTACAGCCACTTCAACAGCAGGTTACGTGTTTCCAGCAAGCTCACAAACTTCAACAGCCCCATTAGTATCCTCAGCAATCACTGCAGCTGCCTCTCCCACACCATCGACACCAACGTCACATTCGGTAGCAGTGTCTTCCTCCTCTACAGCTGGGCCAAGCTCAGTAACAGCTCCATCAACAGCTGTGAAAATTACGCTTTCATCTTCACCAGGTATTAAAATGTTTGCAGGCAACAGCAGCCCACCATCTCACTACAATATCGCTTGCAAAATGTTTTACATACTAGCCACATTCACACAAATCCTGCACCAAACAACAAAAGCCTAAACAACAATAATAAAACAATCATAGAACGCAAACTTCATCATGTCCAACATTACAATAATACAATTTTCAGAATTTTAAGATTATTAGCCACTGCCAATGTTGCATTTGTTGATGTTTTACATTTTACTTCTTGCAGGATCCACAACAGCGATAAAAACGACAATCCTTACCTCTTCAAGTCCTCAGACTATTTCCGAAGGTAAAAACATTTCTGGACGTGAACGTGCCTCTTAACGCTTTGTCACTGATGCTGAACAAGATAACTGGCAGAGGCTGGCATTCAACATTTCTCCCAATGATTTAGCCTTTGGTTGTCATTGAAACATATTGAAATCAACATTCCACACGTAGTATATATGTAGAGTGCGATTAAAGGCGATTCTAATGAGATACGGGGGAGAGGTGTGAGAGTGCAAGGGTGAGAGTAGAGTGAGATGAGAGCAGAGAGGTATTCAGGGCAGAGTCAGGCGAAGATTTTAAAGATTAAGGATGAATTCATGAACATTTCTCAGCTCCCCTATTTCCCGAGGTCAGCAATGTCACAAAGACTATCCTGACGTCTGTGGAATCAGTGCAGGACATTGCAGCTTGTATTCCATGCCCACTTCCCTCCCTATAAAAAAAATTTGCATTTTTAAGAATGTAAGTTGAATTCTGTCACACTGCACGTAGCCAACAGTGCTAATCGGAGGTGCAGGGGAAGTGATTTGATTACCTTTCCTATACTTTGCACTCCGATCGTGTTTGTATTGTTTGTTGTTGTACCGTTCTGACCTGCCCCCGAGTGAACATATGTGAAAAAAAGCTTCATAGCTCATCGGATTTCCTTCAGTAAAATTAATATTCTGTTTCTATCACCCTTACCCTACTGAAAACCAGTTTTAACTTGTGTTTTTCTCTTTTTACCAAAGGTACAATCATATCTGTGACAAATGCACCAATCAACGCAGGGAAGACAACAACCTCAACTACAAGCACAGGTAAAAACGTGCATCCTTCAAGGTCGATCATGTTTGAAGTGGTCGGGTGGCTAATAATGTGTCGCAGACAATCATAATTAAAGTGGGTTCTCAAGCATAATACGTTGATGGTTTTAACCAAGTCACCAAAAACTTACGCAAACTTATGCATCGACGAGTAACCATCCCTAATCTCCCAATCCATTCATCAAATCAGATGTTACGAGGCTATGCTATATAGATTACATGCAATGGGTTCACGTGAACTCTGTTGCCTGACGGGAGAGGCACTAACATTAACAAGAATGTTGAAAAACAGAGAATGGATATTTGAAGAGAACTTGGGTTTTCACGGTTGTGCTGCATTGCTCTCCGATAGGTTTTCAGGGTGTGCCTCTGTGTGTTGTAAACCCCATTGATCAACCAATAATTAACTGATTAAATGTTCCTATAAACAATGTTTTAAGCGGAGTATGACGAATGTATTTGTATGAATATCACTAACACTGCAAATATAAAAACCTTTCAGGCACAACTTCAAAGACATCAACAGTTCCTAGCCTCACAAACTCAACACAAATAACCACAATAAGCACATTAACTACAACAACAGCAGCAACAGCAGCAATAATATTAGCAAGCCAGTCTTCCACAGCAACAGTAGCCACAACGCCACCAACAGGCTCAACAGTTTCAACTGCAGGTCCAGGATCAACAGTCTCAACAGCAGCTCCAGGATCAACTGTCTCAACAGCAGCTTCAGGCTCAACAGTCTCAACAGCAGCTCCAGGCTCAACTGTTTCAACAGCAGCTCCAGGCTCAACAGTCTCAACAGCAGCGCCAGGCTCAACAGTCTCAACAGCAGCTCCAGGCTCAACAGTCTCAACTGCAGCTCCAGGCTCAACAGTCTCAACAGCAGTTCCAGGCTCAACAGTCTCAACTGCAGCTCCAGGCTCAACAGTCTCAACAGCAGCTCCAGGCTCAACAGTCTCAACTGCAGCTCCAGGCTCAACGGTCTCAACAGCAGCACCAGGCTCAACAGTCTCAACGGCAGCTCCAGGCTCAACAGTCTCAATTGCAGCTCCAGGCTCAACAGTCTCAACAGCAGCTCAAGGCTCAACAGTCTCAACTGCAGCTCCAGGCTCAACAGTCTCAACTGTAGCTCCAGGCTCGACAGTCTCAACTGCAGCTCCAGGCTCAACAGTCTCAACTGCAGCTCCAGGCTCAACGGTCTCAACTGCAACTCCAGGCTCAACAGTCTCAACGGCAGCTCCAGGCTCAACAGTCTCAACAGCAGCTCCAGGCTCAACAGTCTCAACGGCAGCTCCAGGCTCAACAGTCTCAACGGCAGCTCCAGGCTCAACAGTCTCAACAGCAGCGCCAGGCTCAACAGTCTCAACAGCAGCTCCAGGCTCAACAGTCTCAACGGCAGCTCCAGGCTCAACAGTCTCAACAGCAGCTCCAGGCTCAACAGTCTCTACAGCAGCTCCAGGCTCAACAGTCTCAACAGCAGCGCCAGGCTCAACAGTCTCAACAGCAGCTCCAGGCTCAACAGTCTCAACTGCAGCTCCAGGCTCAACAGTCTCAACGGCAGCTCCAGGCTCAACAGTCTCAACTGCAGCTCCAGGCTCAACGGTCTCAACAGCAGCACCAGGCTCAACAGTCTCAACGGCAGCACCAGGCTCAACAGTCTCAACGGCAGCTCCAGGCTCAACGGTCTCAACAGCAGCGCCAGGCTCAACAGTCTCAACGGCAGCACCAGGCTCAACAGTCTCAACGGCAGCTCCAGGCTCAACGGTCTCAACAGCAGCACCAGGCTCAACAGTCTCAACGGCAGCACCAGGCTCAACAGTCTCAACGGCAGCTCCAGGCTCAACGGTCTCAACAGCAGCACCAGGCTCAACAGTCTCAACTGCAGCTCCAGGCTCAACAGTCTCAACGGCAGCTCCAGGCTCAACAGTCTCAACTGCAGCTCCAGGCTCAACGGTCTCAACAGCAGCACCAGGCTCAACAGTCTCAACGGCAGCACCAGGCTCAACGGTCTCAACAGCAGCACCAGGCTCAACAGTCTCAACAGCAGCACCAGGCTCAACAGTCTCAACGGCAGCACCAGGCTCAGCAGTCTCAACAGCAGCTCAAGGCTCAACAGTCTCAACTGCAGCTCCAGGCTCAACAGTCTCAACTGTAGCTCCACCCTCGACAGTCTCAACTGCAGCTCCAGGCTCAACAGTCTCAACTGCAGCTCCAGGCTCAACGGTCTCAACTGCAACTCCAGGCTCAACAGTCTCAACGGCAGCTCCAGGCTCAACAGTCTCAACAGCAGCACCAGGCTCAACAGTCTCAACAGCGGCTCCAGGCTCAACAGTCTCAACAGCAGCTCCAGGCTCAACGGTCTCAACTGCAGCTCCAGGCTCAACGGTCTCAACTGCAGCTCCAGGCTCAACAGTCTCAACAGCAGCGCCAGGCTCAACAGTCTCAACGGCAGCTCCAGGCTCAACAGTCTCAACGGCAGCTCCAGGCTCAACAGTCTCAACAGCAGCACCAGGCTCAACAGTCTCAACAGCGGCTCCAGGCTCAACAGTCTCAACAGCAGCTCCAGGCTTAACGGTCTCAACTGCAGCTCCAGGCTCAACAGTCTCAACATCAGCGCCAGGCTCAACAGTCTCAACGGCAGCTCCAGGCTCAACAGTCTCAACAGCAGCGCCAGGCTCAACAGTCTCAACGGCAGCTCCAGGCTCAACAGTCTCAACAGCAGCTCCAGGCTCAACAGTCTCAACAGCAGCTCCAGGCTCAACAGTCTCAACATCAGCGCCAGGCTCAACAGTCTCAACGGCAGCTCCAGGCTCAACAGTCTCAACGGCAGCTCCAGGCTCAACAGTCTCAACAGCAGCGCCAGGCTCAACAGTCTCAACAGCAGCTCCAGGCTCAACAGTCTCAACGGCAGCTCCAGGCTCAACAGTCTCAACAGCAGCGCCAGGCTCAACAGTCTCAACTGCAGCTCCAGGCTCAACAGTCTCAACAGCAGCTCCAGGCTCAACAGTCTCAACTGCAGCTCCAGGCTCAACAGTCTCAACAGCAGCTCCAGGATCAACTGTCTCAACAGCAGCTCCAGGATCAACTGTCTCAACAGCAGCTCCAGGCTCAACAGTCTCAACAGCAGCTCCAGGATCAACTGTCTCAACAGCAGCTCCAGGCTCAACAGTCTCAACAGCAGCTCCAGGCTCAACAGTCTCAACAGCAGCTCCAGGCTCAACAGTCTCAACAGCAGCTCCAGGATCAACTGTCTCAACAGCAGCTCCAGGCTCAACAGTCTCAACGGCAGCTCCAGGCTCAACAGTCTCAACAGCAGCTCCAGGCTCAACAGTCTCAACAGCAGCTCCAGGCTCAACAGTCTCAACAGCAGCTCCAGGATCAACTGTCTCAACAGCAGCTCCAGGATCAACTGTCTCAACAGCAGCTCCAGGCTCAACGGTCTCAACAGCAGCTCCAGGATCAACTGTCTCAACAGCAGCTCCAGGCTCAACAGTCTCAACAGCAGCTCCAGGATCAACTGTCTCAACAGCAGCTCCAGGCTCAACAGTCTCAACAGCAGCTCCAGGCTCAACTGTCTCAACTGCAGCTCTAGGCTCAACAGTCTCAACAGCAGCTCCAGGCTCAACAGTCTCAACTGCAGCTCTAGGCTCAACAGTCTCAACAGCAGCGCCAGGCTCAACAGTCTCAACAGCAGCTCCAGGCTCAACAGTCTCAACAGCAGCTCCAGGATCAACTGTCTCAACAGCAGCTCCAGGCTCAACAGTCTCAACTGCAGCTCTAGGCTCAACAGTCTCAACTGCAGCTCTAGGCTCAACAGTCTCAACTGCAGCTCTAGGCTCAACAGTCTCAACAGCAGCTCCAGGCTCAACTGTCTCAACTGCAGCTCTAGGCTCAACAGTCTCAACAGCAGCTCCAGGCTCAACAGTCTCAACTGCAGCTCTAGGCTCAACAGTCTCAACAGCAGCGCCAGGCTCAACAGTCTCAACAGCAGCGCCAGGCTCAACAGTCTCAACAGCAGCGCCAGGCTCAACAGTCTCAACTGCAACTCCAGGCTCAACAGCCTCATCACTAACCTCATCCACACCAATTGCATCAGCAGCAGTCACCTCAACTTCTCAAACAGTGAGAATATCCACAACAGCAGCCAAAGGTAATTTGAATGCTGTATCAAAACCCTTGCCCTTCACACACAATAATATACAGCACAATAAACTCCTTACCCCCTACTGTGAAAACTTGGCAGGATCCTCCTGATAGAGTACCTTAGGACTCAGTGACTTTGCCTTGGGTAAACAAGCATAATAATCAATACATCAAATAGAAGCTCTCTGCTGTATGCCTGGGTTGCATTGCATGTTGTTTTAACGTGGTGCCCTACATTTGTCTTTCCGTGCTGGGAGCTTCTTCAATCCACTTCCTGTTAGAAGCTAATTTAATTACACTGGAAAAATTGTATAATTGTTACATTAATAAAATCTGAACGATAAATGTTAACCTGCACATGTAAATCAAAAAGAACAACACGCTTGAAAAAAACTACACTCTACACACATCAACAAAATAAACTTTGTATTGCCGATGATCGACGTTCAATCACGCGCGATCCACGAAACAGTTTGCGACGTTGCAGCATGACCTTGCAAAGAGTTACTTTGCCAATCATTTAAATCCACTGCAACACAAGAGTTTTTTTGCAATAAAGCGGTCTATTTCTTCCCCAACAGCCACCACGACAGCAAGTGTCAACGGGACGACGACTGTTCCACCAGCAGCATCAACTGCTTCAACAAGAGGAACAGCTGGTAAAGCGTGCCACTCTAATTTTCTGCTATAAAGTGCTGCACCATAACGTAGCAGAGACGTTTCAGTGGTGCACTACCACTGTCGAAGGGAGATCACTGGAAACAATTGCCGAATATGTATTTGCCGGGGACAATTATTGACGGCGGAACGGGATCCAATAAAGTCATCCCTATCTGCCGTGTCGGTCATGGGCATTATTTGACCATGCTTCACCATGCTGGTCAGTGCGGGTTTGGTGAACGGGGGTAACCCAGGAGTGGTCGGGGATCAAACCTGGGTAACTGGGTTCATAATACAGTGCGTTGACAACCACACCACCGCTCCACCCCGCACATTGATGGTGCAGTGCAGTGCTGTGTACGATAAATCACTGGCTCCTTCTCGTTTTCAGGACTACTGACGTCACAGACAACGGCGGTCACATCAAATGCCACGGAAGGTGAGTGCTCTGAATGGCATTACAGTCACACTCATGCAAAGCACCATTAAAACAAGTACGGTAAGTTCTCTATTTACGTCGGGGATGCTTCCTTGGAAAACGCGACGATAGGTGGTGAAACAACGTAAATGGAAAATTATATCATCTTAGGATACGTTCCGGGGGGTAATTTTTTGGTCAAAATTTTCAGAAATAATATTAAATAAGCGCCAAAAGAAAGATAACAAAAGGTACCCGAAACATAGTCTATCACAAGTCTAAATATATAATGTAAGTTAATACAGAGTACTCACCAGAGATGATGGCGGAGATTGCATTTAGACAAAGTAGTACAGTTGATCATCGATTATCCGGCTGCTTCCAACATTATCCTGCAGTCCCGAGTCAATCTGGCGAGACCGGCAAACCCGCTCCAAAGGCTGTAACCAGTCCGGCGATCGGCACCGTGTAGCGTGACCAAAAAAAGTCGCTATGATTGATTTTCAGTGTCAAATATTATATGCAATACATTATACACTACGTACAACTTAAACAATGAAAATGCTGCACGTATATACATCACCCCATGCAGAGTCTTTGAGATTGGAGTGGTAGGTACGTTTATTTATGGCAATTTCACGTAGTAAACTAATTAAAAACACTGCAAAAAAAACATACTACACCTAAAAACATGTCAAACAATAATATACAAAAATAAGCTATTTAAAATAATAATTTAGTAATTATCCGGCGTTTTTGAAAATCCGGCGCCCCCACCCCCTGGATAATCGATGGCTTGAGCGCCTGCTTGGGGCCGTCGTCGCATCCACTGCCCAAACCACTACGTTATTTAATTTCAAAATTTTCAAAAGAACATTCCAGCTAATCAATGTATTTTAAATCGAATTGTTTTCCTCTCCATCGTTGGCGATGTTAAAGTGAGAAAAAAACGTAAACAGGAGCAACGTAAATGCAGAACTTTATGTACAAAGCATTAACAATGTAGCCGATCCACAAATGATGAAACTCGCAGTCAAGATTTCGTTAAATGCGTAAAGCTGTGTCCCTCAGTCTATTACGGGGGGGGGGGGGGTTAGCATAAACTATCGTAATGATCCAAAGGGGATTAATCAATAGTATAAAGTTATCTTGCTCTTAGGACGCCTAGAGAAAACCAAACACTGATCCGAGGATTAATGCTCAAAACGTGGAGACATAAACCAAAGCAAAAGGGACGATTGGCAAATCAAATACTCCTGAGGACAAACGCATGTTGGTAAGTGTTACGTAAATCATGTTTATTTGTGAGTTTGCCTTCTAACTGTATTTTCTTTTTTTGCTGAACTGAAGGTCTAATTGTGCCCGTGACGCAGCCACCAATTAACGCAGCAAAGTCAACAACTACAGGTAAATGTGTTCCCTTTATGTTGTTTAAAAACAACGCAACCCTCATAACACAAACAGCTCCAGCATCGGATGTGTGTATAGTGTCACTTTCTTAAATACCACAGAAACTCAAAGTGCCTTATATCTCATCTAACTCATTACAATATACTGATGCAGACTAGCCCAGGGGAACCCCATTGGCAGTTATCCCTCTGCAGCAATTTTGGGGTGCCATGGTGGCGAGATGTTAACTCCCTCGCCTGGTATGCAGGTGGTCATGGGTTGAAACCTGACCCTGACGCCTGAAAATTTGGAGTTTGCATGTTTTCCCCGTAGTTGCGTGGATTTTTCTCCAGGTCCTCCGGTTTTCCCTCCACATTGAGAAACATGTGTTTAGAGTATTTGGCTGTGATACATTCCACATAAGCCACTTCATTGATTAATGAATTGTGGCCAGGCTGCTTCTGGAAAAAAGTGTAGTTTTAGTTTAAATAAGGTGTATGCAGTACTGATCTGCATGTGAGCACTAGCTTGCCACTAGTTAGCGATGTTGTGCCCTGTTTTTTTCAAATTACGTAATTTACACACGATTTGCATGGCCCGTGAAGTTTTATTCGAGCCACGCACCCCTCTCCACCATCACCTCGGATAGTTAAGCGTTCAGATCGTACCATTAATAACGATGTTGCGCACTGAAATTGGTATTAATCCTCAGGATTGGATTGCATTGGTGCCCTCAACGAACGCGTCCTTCTTAACAGCGTCATTCACCGCCGACGTGTTTGTGCGGCGGTGCACTTTGCGTCCACTACCTGCAACCGGCCATGCGTGTTCCTCATTTGTGGGGTTGTCTAACAGTGCCGTTTTTACTTCTCCAATCCTCCAGTGCCCGTCCATGTGACCACAAGCATCGTCCCTGGGTTCACGTCCTCTGTGACGACGCTGTCGAGCACGAGCTTGCCTCCCTCGGTCGTATCGAACAAACCGATCTCAATCAACACACCTGGGTGGATGACCACAACCACGCCAACAACGACCACACCAACAACGACCACACCAACAACGACCACACCGACATCAACCACACCAACAACGACCACAACCACCGGTGTGCCACCCACAGCACCACCAACAACTTCTTCCACGGCGACGACAGCCATCACCTTGGCCCCAACTGGTGAGTTGCCCTTCATGAGTCTGATGAGATGGCCCGTTGAATTTGTGGGTGGGAAACACCCAGCAGGAATTGCATGTGATTCTGGATTTAAATCTAGGTTTTAGCCACCCAACTTTGATTAACCCTTTGGTCAAATGTGGTGAGTTTATGGTCTCAGCATGGTCACTCATGACTTTATAGAGGTCTGTAGACTTACACAGAGACTCATTAACTCACATAAACAGAGGTGTGATTAAACTGGGTTCTCACATGTCACGGACTGTTAGTCTCAGCCCGGAGGCCAATGACTACACAAAATCCATCGTCACATATCATTTTCTTTTTTTAAAGCATGGCTTGCAAAACTTCTCCTTTCATTGCTTTTCTATTGAAGCTCCGATTGTCCCCGTGACAACGACAACAGCAACCTTCCAGCACTTCTACATCAAGTTCACCATCGTCAACCGCAACTACAGCAGCGATCTGGCGCAGAGCTACTCTCCCCTGCGAACGGAGTACACCACAAACATCTCCAACCTGGTGAGTGTCTCTTCACGGTCACGGAGGTTTTCGTCTATGGAGTGCCAATTCTACACGTCCAAACTTAGCTTCGTTTCTCATTCCTAAGTTCTCTGTACTGGCTGGAATCAAGAGGCCAGAGCTGGCACAGCTGATATTATGGGTTAATATTTGGTTTCAGCCGCCTGTCACTATACTGGGTTTTTCGAGTGTGGTGAGTTGATGATTTTAGCTTAATCACCAATTACTGTCCCAAAATTTAAAAAACATTTGGATCTCCACTTAATTGGGCTACATTCTAGCTCTATATAAAAAAAACATGTATAACTTTGACTTTTAAAATGCAACGAACGTTACTCTAAGTGGCAGATCGGGTGGGAAACGTGTCCTTAGTTATATATCTGCTTCTGTGGAATGTATATCAAATCACTTAGGGTTGTCCTGCTATGTGAGAGTTCCGAGTAAATTCTTCATCTCAAAACGTGACACCAATAGCACAATTGGGATAAAATATGGGGAAAAGACAAACATGTTTAATGACACCGGTGCTTGAAACGAAATGTTTGCAAATGCTTGGCTTTTTCTCTCTCTTTCAGTTGGAGAACCTGTTCTATCAGAAAATCGGGGATGCAGTGCAAGCATGCACAGTGACGAATTACTGGTACGTGTGATAAAACTTTAATCGATAGTATAAGTTGTCATTTTTATCTCTCTCGTGCACACACGAATCAGAGAACAAACGTAAGTTAGAGACATCGTATTGACTGTTAAAGTGAGGTTAGACATTATCAGAGATCAACTTTAAAATACAAATGTAAAGGTACAGCCCTGCAAGTACCTGCTCACGCCACTGCTGGCAGAAGGGCCTTCACTAGAGAGAGCTCAAAAGAGCCCCTTGCTTGGAGGTATTTTCCTCCTCTTCCACACTGACCAGACATCTCAAAAGAGGTGGGAGTACACACATGTTACCCCACCACACGCAACCCGCTAATCGACTGTGGTTCTACCAATTCATACTCCTGGGTGAACAGAGTTCACGGGGTGGATTTAAGAAGATTGCACATATGGAGAGACTTTCCCATCATACGAATGTGGAATTTCCAGCAATGGCTGAGCTGTAAACTGGAGCTGAGCACCAACTCAACGTTAATTTGAGCAGGAAACCGGTTTAACTTTGTGTTACACGATGATGTACGTAAACTTTGTGTCATTGACGTCCGCAGGGAGGGCCCACTGGTGGTGGTTGCCAGGTGCGAGTTCACAAACACCGGCAGTGTGAACGAGTCGGTGGTTGACGCGGCCTTCAAAGCAGGAACCAACCAACTGTACGACCTGGGACCTTACCTGCTCAAGAACACAGACCTCACAGTGACCAGTAAGTGGACGCCTTCATTTCAACATTAAGAGTTTTGTCTATGACCACAGCACCCAGAATGCGCCCCATCTCATCAGATCTCATGAGCCAAGCAGGTTTGAGCCTACATAGTTATTGGATGTGCGACCACCATGCATGACAGGTGCTACAAGCTGCCGCGAGGGCTACGTTGTGGGCAGCAAAGAGCAAGTACCACTAAATCCATCATTGTACTGTACTTGTATGCTCCCAGGTCTAGCGCAGTGGATTGACAGAAGCGCTGTACATGTGCGCGTTATGCACAACACTGCTAGTCGTACGGACGCGCGGTGCAAGCGGTTGAGATGTTGGATCGTGGATGTTTGCGTGTGAACAGGGACGGAGCCACTGCCTCCAACAGGAACGCCAGCAACTACCAGTGCCGTCACAGCTACAGGTGAGTCTACCAGCACAGTTATCAATCTGGACTATCAATATCAGCCATGGTCAATCCACTGCTGGATAAAGGCCTCTCCAGCATTCGCCACCTCTCACAGTTCTGAATTATTACAATCCATCCGGCACCTGCACACGAGTTGATTTCATGGCTCCATCTACTCAGTAGATGTGCTCTCGGACACGTTATATTCTTTAGCTACCACTCTGTTATTACTCCTGACCATCGTCCATCTTCTAGCCAGGATGTGTCCTGCACAAGCTCACTCGATTTTCTTAACAGTTTGAAAGGTGTCTTTAACCTGCATATGTTCTATCATCCACGTGTTCCATTTATCTGTCCCTCCGTGTAATTTCAGGCGTGCATCTCCCCATGCTTCATTGCAAAGTCTCAGTTTCTGTTACATATTTTTGTGAATGATCATGTTTATGAACCATATGTTGTAACAGGCAGGACACACTGCCTGTCACAGAAACCCAATGGAATGTAAGGGCTGTGTAACCGTTATTCTAAAATGTTCACGTTTATAACGTGACTTTATCATCATTGGCAGGTCGCTGAAAGTGTTAAAAACCCAAGTAAATGTTGTGGCAACGTTTGAACGTAATAATGACAATTACATGTTCTTTTGCTTTTCTCTAAGTTGCAACAACTACTTCTGCAAGTGCATTCAACGTCACCACAAGTCAGTCGATCACCCAAGGTAGAACATACTTAACATGCAGAATGTAATCAACACTTGAATCGACCTGACGCTGAATAACTATTATGTTGCAGTACCCGCCTGTGATCGCATTCTGTGTGGAATTTCTGTGTTAAATTCCTGTGTTGTATTGATCACGGCTAATGACCATGATGATGATGAATTATTCGCTTTCTGGTGAGGTCCACATTAATGGAGGAACCATTTCTGATGTTTTTTTGGAAGATCTTGGGAAAATACCAATGTCATTAACTGTATCAGAAATGCTTTATCAGGGATAATTGATTAAAAGGAAAACTCAGAAGCCCTAATCATAGCTCACACATTAATTATAATTTTAGCACTTTCCAACTCAGGTTGAAAGCGGAAATGCATTAACTATATCCGTCCTCCTAAAACGGCGTCACTGTAATTCTCGTGAAGATAAGTCAATGTGAACAAAACTTAAATATGAGGTTATGTTGCTCTTCGGAACTCACCCTGGAGAAAACCAGACACAATAATTAAAGGATCATTGCTCAAAGCTTGGAGACACAAACGAGGGCTAAACTTAGAGACACAAACCACCTTTAAAAGAAACGGTGCCGGAGGCTAATGCCCATGTGACGTGACAGCGTGCGACGTCACAATCTGACATGACGTGTTGTTGCGCCATGCGACATCGTCTCGCTGTGCTACCGGAAACCTAATATCATTATCGCTCATTCCACACTCCCGAAGAAAAATGCATTTGAAAGCAATGCCATTCACATGAATTTTCGAACTCTTTTCATCCCTTCCCCCCACCCCACTAATCAAAGCTCCAACTGTGCCTGAGCTGAGCCAACTGATCCCCACGACGTCGCCACCGTTCGCCCCGACCGTTGGAGACCAGCAGCACTTCTACATCAAGTTCACCATCGTCAATCGCAACTACAGCAGCGATCTGGCGCAGAGCTACTCTCCCCTGCGAACCGAGTACACCACAAACATCTCCAACCTGGTGAGCGTCACTTCAGGGTCACGGAGGTTTTCATCTACAAAGTGACAATTCTACACGTCCAAACTTAACTTTGCTTCTCATCCCTATGTTCTTTGCCAATTCAGAGTTTGTTGCTTACTGGCTGTAATCAGAGGTCAGAGCTGGCACAGCTGAGATCATGGGTTCATATCCAGGTTTCAGCTGCCTGTCACTATAATGGGTTTTTCAAGTGTTGTGAGTTAATGATCTCAGCTCAGTCACCAAATACTTTCCAACAATGATAAAATGTGGTTCTGCACTTAATTTGGCTAAATTCTAGCACTTAGAATTTAAAAACAAACGTATGTGACTTTGACTTTTATAATGCAACAAACACTACTCGCCAGTATAACTTGGCAGTAGTTCCATAATATCTGCTTCTGTGGAACATATATCATATCACTTAGGGTTGTCCTGCTTTGTAAGAGTTCCGAGTAAATTCTTCATCTCATAACGTGACACCAATAGCACAATCGGGATAAAATATGGGGAAAAGACAAACATGTCTAATGACACTGGTGTTTGAAGTGAGATGTTTGCAATGCTTGGCTTTTTCTCTCTCTTTCAGTTGGAGAACCTGTTCTATCAGAAAATCGGGGATGCAGTGCAAGCATGCACAGTGACGAATTACTGGTACGTGTGCTAAAACTTTAATCGGTAGTATAAGTTGTCATTTTAATCTCTCTTGTGCACACACGGATCAGAGAACAAACGTTGAACTTTGTGTCAAACGATGATGTACGTACACTTTGTGTCATTGACGTCTGCAGGGAGGGCCCACTGGTGGTGGTTGCCAAGTGTGAGTTCACAAACACCAGCAGTGTGAACGAGTCGGTGGTTGACGCGGCCTTCAAAGCAGGAACCAACCAACTGTACAACCTGGGACCTTACCTGCTCAAGAACACAGACCTCACAGTGACCAGTAAGTAGACGCCTTCATTTCAACATAAAGAGTTTTGTCTATGACCACAGCACCCAGAATGCACCCCATCTCATCAGATCTCATAAGCCAAGCAGGTTTGAGCCTACATAGTTATCGGATGTGCGACCACCATGCATGACAGGTGCTACAGGCTGCCGCGAGGGCTACGTTGTGGGCAGCAGAGAACAAGTACCGCTAAATCCATCGTTGTACTGTACTTGTATGCTCCCGGGTCTAGCGCAGTGGATTGACAGAAGCGCTGTACATGTAAACGTTATGCACAACACTGTGCTAATCGCACGGACGCGCGGTGCAAGCGGTTGAGATGTTGGATCGTGGATGTTTGCGTGTGAACAGGAACGGAGCCACTGCCCCCAACAGGAACGCCAGCAACTACCAGTGCCGTCACAGCTACAGGTGAGTCTACCAGCACAGTTATCAATCTGGACTATCAATATCAGCCATGGTCAATCCACTGCTGGATAAAGGCCTCTCCAGCATTCTCAACCTCTCACAGTTCTGAATTATTACAATCCATCCGGCACCTGCACACGAGTTAATTTCATAGCTCCATCTACTCAGTAGATGTGCTCTCGGACACGTTATATTCTTTAGCTACCACTCTGTTATCACTCCTGACCATCGTCCATCTTCTAGCCAGGATGTGTCCTGCACAAGCTCACTCGATTTTCTTAACAGTTTGAAAGGTGTCTTTAACCTGCATATGTTCTATCATCCACGTGTTCCATTTATCTGTCCCTCCGTGTAATTTCAGGCGTGCATCTCCCCATGCTTCATTGCAAAGTCTCAGTTTCTGTTACATATTTTTGTGAATGATCATGTTTATGAACCATATGTTGTAACAGGCAGGACACACTGCCTGTCACAGAAACCCAATGGAATGTAAGGGCTGTGTAACCATTATTCTAAAATGTTCACGTTTATAACGTGACTTTATCATCATTGGCAGGTCGCTGAAAGTGTTAAAAACCCAAATAAATGTTGTGGCAACGTTTGAACGTAATAATGACAATTACATGTTCTTTTGCTTTTCTCTAAGTTGCAACAACTACTTCTGCAAGTGCATTCAACGTCACCACAAGTCAGTCGATCACCCAAGGTAGAACATACTTAACATGCAGAATGTAATCAACACTTGAATCGACCTGACGCTGAATAACTATTATGTTGCAGTACCCGCCTGTGATCGCATTCTGTGTGGAATTTCTGTGTTAAATTCCTGTGTTGTATTGATCACGGCTAATGACCATGATGATGATGATGAATTATTCGCTTTCTGGTGAGGTCCACATTAATGGAGGAACCATTTCTGATGTTTTTTTGGAAGATCTTGGGAAAATACCAATTTCATTAACTGTATCAGAAATGCTTTATCAGGGATAATTGATTAAAAGGAAAACTCAGAAGCCCTAATCATAGCTCACACATTAATTATACTTTTAGCACTTTCCAACTCAGGTTGAAAGCGGAAATGCATTAACTATATCCGTCCTCCTAAAGCGGCGTCACTGTAATTCTCGTGAAGATAAGTCAATGTGAACAAAACTTAAATATGAGGTTGTGTTGCTCTTCGGAACTCACCCTGGAGAAAACCAGACACAATAATTAAAGGATCATTGCTCAAAGCTTGGAGACACAAACGAGGGCTAAACTTAGAGACACAAACCACCTTTAAAAGAAACGGTGCCGGGGGCTAATGCCCATGTGACGTGACAGCGTGCGACGTCACAATCTGACATGACGTGTTGTTGCGCCATGCGACATCGTCTCGCTGTGCTACCGGAAACCTAATATCATTATCGCTCATTCCACACTCCCGAAGAAAAATGCATTTGAAAGCAATGCCATTCACATGAATTTTCGAACTCTTTTCATCCCTTCCCCCCACCCCACTAATCAAAGCTCCAACTGTGCCGGAGCTGAGCCAACTGATCCCCACGACGTCGCCACCGTTCGCCCCGACCATTGGAGACCAGCAGCACTTCTACATAAAGTTCACCATCGTCAACCGAAACTACAGCAGCGATATGGCGCAGAGCTACTCTCCCCTGCGAACCGAGTACACCACAAACATCTCCAACCTGGTGAGCGTCGCTTCAGGGTCACGGAGGTTTTCATCGACAAAGTGACAATTCTACACGTCCAAACTTAACTTCGCTTCTCATTCCTATGTTCTCTGCCAATTCAGAGTTTGTTGCTTAAATAGTACTGGCTGGAATCAGAGGTCAGAGCTGGCACAGCTGAGATCATGGGTTCATATCCAGGTTTCAGCTGCCTGTCACTATATTGGGTTTTTCAAGTGTTGTGAGTTAATGATCTCAGCTCAGTCACCAAATACTATACAACAATGATAAAATGTGGTTCTGCACTTAATTTGGCTAAATTCTAGCACTTAGAATTAAAAAACAAACGTATGTGACTTTGACTTTTATAATGCAACAAACACTACTCGCCAGTATAACTTGGCAGTAGTTCCATAATATCTGCTTCTGTGGAACATATATCATGTCACTTAGGGTTGTCCTGCTTTGTAAGAGTTCCGAGTAAATTATTCATCTCATAACGTGACACCAATAGCACAATTGGGATAAAATATGGGGAAAAGACAAACATGTCTAATGGCACTGGTGTTTGAAGCGAGATGTTTGCAAATGCTTGGCTTTTTCTCTCTCTTTCAGTTGGAGAACCTGTTCTATCAGAAAATCGGGGATGCAGTGCAAGCATGCACAGTGACGAATTACTGGTACGTGTGCTAAAACTTTAATCGGTAGTATAAGTTGTAATTTTAATCTCTCTTGTGCACACACGGATCAGAGAACAAACGTTGAACTATGTGTCAAACGATGATGTACGTAAACTTTGTGTCATTGACGTCTGCAGGGAGGGCCCACTGGTGGTGGTTGCCAAGTGTGAGTTCACAAACACCAGCAGTGTGAACGAGTCGGTGGTTGACGCGGCCTTCAAAGCAGGAACCAACCAACTGTACAACCTGGGACCTTACCTGCTCAAGAACACAGACCTCACAGTGACCAGTAAGTAGACGCCTTCATTTCAACCTAAAGAGTTTTGTCTATGACCACAGCACCCAGAATGCGCCCCATCTCATCAGATCTCATGAGCCAAGCAGGTTTGAGCCTACATAGTTATTGGATGTGCGACCACCATGCATGACAGGTGCTACAGGCTGCCGCGAGGGCTACGTTGTGGGCAGCAGAGAGCAAGTACCGCTAAATCCATCGTTGTACTGTACTTGTATGCTCCCAGGTCTAGTGCAGTGGATTGACAGAAGCGCTGTACATGTACACATTATGCACAACACTGTGCTAGTCGCACGGACGCGCGGTGCAAGCGGTTGAGATGTTGGATCGTGGATGTTTGTGTGTGAACAGGAACGGAGCCACTGCCTCCAACAGGAACGCCAGCAACTACCAGTGCCGTCACAGCTACAGGTGAGTCTACCAGCACAGTTATCAATCTGGACTATCATCATCAGCCATGGTCAATCCACTGCTGGATAAAGGCCTCTCCAGCATTCGCCACCTCTCACAGTTCTGAATTATTACAATCCATCCGGCACCTGCACACGAGTTGATTTCATGGCTCCATCTACTCAGTAGATGTGCTCTCGGACACGTTATATTCTTTAGCTACCACTCTGTTATTACTCCTGACCATCGTCCATCTTCTAGCCAGGACGTGTCCTGCACACGCTCACTCGATTTTCTTAACAGTTTGAAAGATGTCTTTAACCTGCATATGTTCTATCATCCACGTGTTCCTTTATCTGTCCCTCCGTGTAATTTCAGGCGTGCATCTCCCCATGCTTCTTTGCAAACGTCTCAGTTATTTTTGTGAATGATCATGTTCATGAACCATATGTTGTAACAGGCAGGACACACTGCCTGTCACAGAAACCCAATGGAACGTAAGGGCTGTGTAACCATTATTCTAAAATGTTCACGTTCATAACGTGACTTTATCATCATTGGCAGGTCGCTGAGAGTGTTAAAGACCCACATAAATATTGTGGCAACGTTTGGACGTAATAATGACAATTACATGTTTTTTTGCTTTTCTCTAAGTTGCAACAACTACTTCTGCAAGTGCATTCAACGTCACCACAAGTCAGTCGATCACCCAAGGTAGAACATACTGAACATGCAGAATGTAATCAACACTTAAATAGACCTGACGCTGAATAACTATTATGTTGCAGTACCCGCCTGTGATCGCATTCTGTGTGGAATTTCTGTGTTAAATTCCTGTGTTGTATTGATCACGGCTAATGAACATGATGATGATGATGAATTATTCGCTTTCTGGTGAGGTCCACATTAATGGAGGAACCATTTCTGATATTTTTTTGGAAGATCTTGGGAAAATACCAATTTCATTAATTGTATCATAAATGCTTTATCAGGGATAATTGATTAAAAGGAAAACTCAGAAGCCCTAATCATAGCTCACACATTAATTATTATTTTAGCACTTTCCAACTCAGGTTGAAAGCGGAAATGAATTAACTATGTCCGTCCTCCTAAAGCGGCGTCACTGTAATTTTCGTGAACATAAGTCAACGTGAACAAAACTTAAATATGAGGTTGTGTTGCTCTTCGGAACTCACCCTGGAGAAAACCAGACACAATAATCAAAAGATTATTGCTCAAAGCTTGGAGACACAAACGAGGGTTAAACTTAGAGACACAAACCACCTTTAAAAGAAACGGTGCCGCGGGCTAATGCCCATGTGACGTGACAGCGTGCGACGTCACAATCTGACATCACGTGTTGTTGCGCCATGCGACATCGTCTCGCTGTGCTACCGGAAACCAAATATCATTATCGCTCATTCCACACTCCTGAAGAAAAGTGCATTTGAAAGCAATGCCATTCACATGGATTTTCGCACTCTTTTTATCCCTTCCCCCCACCCCACTAATCAAAGCTCCAACTGTGCCTGAGCCGAGCCAACTGATCCCCACGACGTCGCCACCGTTCGCCCCGACCGTTGGAGACCAGCAGCACTTCTACATCAAGTTCACCATCGTCAACCGCAACTACAGCAGCGATCTGGCGCAGAGCTACTCTCCCCTGCGAACCGAGTACACCACAAACATCTCCAACCTGGTGAGCGTCGCTTCAGGGTCATGGAGGTTTTCATCTACAAAGTGACAATTCTACACGTCCAAACTTAACTTCGCTTCTCATCCCTATGTTCTTTGCCAATTCAGAGTTTGTTGCTAAAATAGTACTGGCTGTAATCAGAGGTCAGAGCTGGCACAGCTGAGATCATGGGTTCATATCCAGGTTTCAGCCGCCTGTCACTATAATGGGTGTTTCAAGTGTTGTGAGTTAATGATCTCAGCTCAGTCACCAATTACTATCCAACAATGATAAAATGTGGTTCTGCACTTAATTTGGCTAAATTCTAGCACTTAGAATTTAAAAAACAAACGTATGTGACTTTGACTTTTATAATGCAACAAACACTACTCGCCAGGATAACTTGGCAGTAGTTCCATAATATCTGCTTCTGTGGAACATATATCATATCACTTAGGGTTGTCTTGCTTTGTAAGAGTTCCGAGTAAATTCTTCATCTCATAACGTGACACCAATAGCACAATTGGGATAAAATATGGGGAAAAGACAAACATGTCTAATGACACTGGTGTTTGAAGCGAGATGTTTGCAAATGCTTGGATTTTTCTCTCTCTTTCAGTTGGAGAACCTGTTCTATCAGAAAATCGGGGATGCAGTGCAAGCATGCACAGTGACGAATTACTGGTACGTGTTAAAACTTTAATCGATAGTATAAGTTGTCATTTTAATCTCTCTCGTGCACACACGGATCAGAGAACAAACGCAAGATAGAGACATCGTATTGACTGTTAAAGTGAGGTTACACATGATCAGAGATCAACTTTAAATTGCCAGGTGAAATAAAAAGGTAAAGGTGCAGCCCTGCAAGTACCTGCTCACGCCACTGCTGGCAGAAGGGCCTTAACTAGAAAGAGCTCAAGAAAGCCCCTTGCTTGGAGGTATTTGCCTCCTCTTCCAGACTGACCAGACAACTCAAAAGAGGTGGGAGTACACACATGTTACCCCACCACGCGCAACCCGCTAATCGACTGTGGTTCTACCAATTCATACTGCTGGATGAACAAAGTTCACGGGGTAGATTTAAGAAGCTTCCACATATGGAGAAACTTTCCCATCATAGGAATGTGGAATTTCCAGCACAGGCAGAGAAGTAAACTGGAGCTGAGCACCACCTCAATGCTCATTTGAGCAGGAAACCAGTTTACCTTTGTGTTAAACGATGATGTACGTAAACTTTGTGACATTGATATCCGCAGGGAGGGCCCACTGGTGGTGGTTGCCAGGTGCGAGTTCACAAACACCAGCAGTGTGAACGAGTCGGTGGTTGACGCAGCCTTCAAAGCAGGAACCACCCAACTGAGCAAACTGGGACCTTACCTGCTCAACAACACAGACCTCACAGTGACGAGTAAGTGGACGCCTTCATTTCAACGCGGCACGTTCACGTGGAATTATTTCAGCTGCTGTGAGACATCTCACGGACAACTGTCAATGAACCTACTTGTACTCAATATGCGGATCCCTCCACTGGCTCTCAAGATCACACTCACAGTTTTAAAGATCCTCCACTGACTCATCCTTGTTTACCTTGTCAATCTCATCGCACTCTCCTGCCCACAATGCCCTCTCTGCTCCAGCAACTCAGGCTTTCTGTCAAAGCCCCCAATTTACCTTTGCCCAGTGGTAGGTCGCTCATTCGCCTCTACTGCTGCCATTGGCGTGAACTCCCCTCCCGCAACCATCCATGCTGTCAACTCCATGCCCAAATAGACTCCTCTGCCTATGATTGACTATTTCAGTCTATAAAATAAGAATGCCTACCCTTCTTGTGAAATTTCTGAAGATGCGGCCGCATTTAGACGTTTTATCAATTTACATTGTAATTGTGTCAATATTTTTAAGGCTGACATGACGTCTTTGTGCACAAACAGGAACAGAACCAATGCCCCCATCTGCAACACAAGCACCTACCAGTATAGGTAAGGCAACACATTCAGCAACCAACAACAAATAACCGCGTCATATCAAGTGTGCCCCACATGACAAATTTCACTGCTCTTCCGAATTTGCCGATAATTACGTGGAAGTCTGCCATCTGGCGGTGAAAAATATACTGCGCATGTTGAAAACAAATATGGTGCACTAGTCCCAGAGTAATGGCCCACTCACCGTGAAATGTTTACCAAAATTGACGTAGGTGCCAGGTAACATGTGGTTACTCCCACCTCTTCCAAAACATCTGGCCAGCATGGAAGAGTGGGCCAAATACCCTTTAGATGGGCTTTCTAGAAACCCGTAGTGGAGGCCCTTCCGTAAGCAAAGGCGTGAGCAAGTAAATTGAGGGCTGCACCTTTACCTTTTAGGAAGCGATGATGGTCATTTATGAGTCTGTGTGTTTGGTCCTCAGCAACTCCTCCGTCAACGACACCACCAGGCACAGGGCTACCACCCTCAGGTACGCCACACACAACATTCCGTCCAAACCACAACCACGCGGGCATCCGTACTCACAACCACAACAAATATAACTGTTTCTAACTAATGCTTAATTCGCATCGACTATGTCTCAATTAAGTTTAATGAATACTTCTGAGGACAAATGTACGTTGCAAAGCGGCATAGAAGCCACGTATATTCATGATCTTTCTTCCTTGTACTTCTGTGTTTTAGTTTCCACCACAGCGGCTGTAACGACCAAACAGACGGCCGCCACAGAAGGTAATCCGCGCGTTACCCACAGATTACATCTCACTGTAGCAGTACCCTCCTGAAAAAGAGTCAAGCTCACCATTGGCACTCCGTATTTCATTAAAAAACAAGTTGCCGATTTTCTTCCCCCTTCAAAGAATTATAACCCCATAACAAACAAACAAAATACGCTTAGGAGGGGCTGCATAGAGCTCCCTCGAGCGATCGGAGGCGCTTTAGCCAGCAGTCACTTGAGCAAGATTTTTCAGAGCTGCACCTTAACCTTTACTTTTGCATTTTTCATAGCACCCATCGTTCCCGTGACAAACAACCCGATCAACGCCGGGAAGACGACAACAGCGCCAGTCGTCCTGACCCAGGGACCCCAGCAGCACTTCTACATCAAGTTCACCATCATCAACCGCAACTACACCAGCGATCTGGCGAGCTACTCTCCCCTGCGAACCGAGTACACCACAAACATCTCCAACCTGGTGAGCATTGCTTCATGGTCACGGAGGTTTTCGTCGATGAAGTGCCAATTCTGCACTTCCAAACTTAGCTTCGCTTCGTATTCCTAAGTTCTCTGGCAATTCAGAGTATGTTGCTTAAAAAGTACTTGTTGGAATCAGAGGTAGGAGCAGTCACAGCTGAGATACTGGGTTAGGACCCAAGCTTCAGCCGTCTGTGATTAAACCGGGTTCTCAAGTGTAGACAGTTGATGGCTTCAGCTCAGCCACCAATAACTGCACAAAACGCAATTACATCAGAGGTGGCCGAGTCGCTCAGCGGTCAGAGACCAAAGCCGGCACAGCTGAGATACTGGGTTCATATCCAGGCTTCAGTCGCCCTTGAATACACTGGGTTTTTCAGTGTGGTGAGTTGATGATCTCAGCTCGGTCATTAAAGACTGCCCCAAAAAATATCAACTTTGGTTAAATTTCACCTCTGAAAATTCATAAAGTATAGGAATATGTATCACTGTGGACCAGAGGACACTGGAAGAGGTCTCAGAGGTAGTTCTATGATATCTGCTTCTGTGAGCCGTACATTATATCAAGAAGGGTTGTACTGCTCTGTGAGAGTTTTTAATAAATTATTTGTCTCATGACGCGACACCAATAGCACAGCTGGGATATAATAAATAAAATGTGTCATGACACTGACATTTGAAGCGAGCTGTTTGCAAATACTTGACTTTTGCTCTCTCTTTCAGTTGGACAACCTCTTCGCTCAGAAAATAGGAGATGCATTCCAAACATGTCACGTGGCGAATTACTGGTACGTGCCAATTTAATCTTTCACACACTTCAGACAACAAACGCAAGTTCGAGACATCGCATTGACTGTTACGATAAGTGGGCTTCGACGTTATAATTAAACAAATTTAAAATGCATGAAGGTAAAGGTACAGCCCTGCAAGTACCTGCTCGCACCACTGCTGGCGGAAAGGCCTTCACTAGAGGGAGCTCAAAGAGAGCCACTTGCTTTGGGGCATTTGCCTTCTCTTCTTGAAAGAGTTGGGAGTTACCCACACTTTACCCCACCATGCACAACACACCGATTGCTTCTACCCATTCATACTGCTGGGTGGACAGAGTTTGCGTGGTGGATTTAAGAAGCTTCCACCATTGTTATACTGCCGTGGGGAGAAATAAAATTGAACCGACGAAATCAAATCTGGATTGCAAGTCCAGTGTGATAACCATTCTACCACAGCAGCATCCCTGACAGTATGAAAGCTGACAATAGATTTTTTTGAAAACTAACTTTGCATCATTGAATTCCGCAGGGAGGGCCCACTGGTGGTGGTTGCCAGGTGCGAGTTCACAAACACCAGCAGTGTGAACGAGTCGGTGGTTGACGCAGCCTTCAAAGCAGGAACCAACCAACTGTACGACCTGGGACCTTACCTGCTCAACAAGACAGACCTCACAGTGACCAGTAAGTGGACGCCCTCATTTCAACGCGGCACATTCACGTGGAATGATTTCAGCTGCTGTGAGACATCTCACGGACAACTGTCAATGAACCTACTTGTACTCAATACGCGGATCCCTCCACTTGCTCTCAAGATCACACTCACAGTTTTAAAGATCCTCCACTGACTCATCCTTGTTTACCTTGTCACTCTCATCGCACTCTCCTGCCCACCATGCCCTCTCTGCTCCAGAAACTCAGGCTTTCTGTCAAAGCCCCCAATTTACCTTTGCCTAGTAGTCGGTCGCTCATTCGCCTCTACTGCTGCCATTGGCTTGAACTCCCCTCCTGCAGCCATCCATGCTGTCAACTCCATGCCCAAATAGACTCCTCTGCCTATGATTGACTATTTCAGTCTATAAAATAAGAATGCCTACCCTTCTTGGGAAATGTCTGAAGATGCGGCCGCATTTAGACATTTTGTAAATTTACATTGTAATTGTGTCAATATTTTTAAGGCTGACATGACGTCTTTGTGCACAAACAGGAACAGAACCAATGCCTCCATCTGCAACACAAGCACCTACCAGTACAGGTAAGGCAACACATTCAGCAACCAACAACAAATAACCGTGTCATATCAAGTGTGCACCACATGACAAATTTCACTGCTCTTCCAAATTTGAAATTGATTACGTGGACGTCTGCCATCTGGCGGTGAACAATATACTGTGCATGTTGAAAACAAATATGGTGCACTAGTCCCAGAGTAATGGCCCACTCACCGTGAAATGTTTACCAAAATTTACCAAGGTTCCAGGTAACATGTGGTTACTTCCACCTCTTCCAAAACATCTAGCCAGCATGGAAGAGTGGGCCAAATACCCTTTAGATGGGCTTTCTAGAAATCCGTAGTGGAGGCCTTCCGTCATAAAAGGCGTGAGCAAGTAAATTCAGGGCTGCACTTTTACCTTTTAGGAAGCGATGATGGTCATTTATGAGTCTGTGTGTTTGGTCCTCAGCAACTCCTCCGTCAACGACACCACCAGGCACAGGGCTGCCACCCTCAGGTACGCCACACACAACATTCCGTCCAAACCACAACCACGCGGGCATCCGTAATCACAACCACAACAAATACAACTGTTTCCAACTAATGCTGAATTTGCATCGACTCTGTCTCAATTAAGTTTAATGAATACTTCTGAGGACAAATGTACGTTGCAAAGTGGCATAGAAGCCACGTATATTCATGATTTTTCTTCCTTGTACTTCTGTGTTTTAGTTTCCACCACAGCGGCTTTAACGACCAAACAGACGACCGCCACAGAAGGTAATCCGCTCGTTACCCACGGAGTACATCTCACTGTAGCAGTACCCTCCTGAAAATAAGTCTAGGGACTCAGCGAGTCATGCTCACAATTGGCACTCCGTATTTCATTAAAAAACAAGTTGCCGATTTTCTTCCCCCTTCAAAGAATTATAACCCCATAACAAACAAACAAAAATACGCTTAGGAGGGGCTCCATAGAGCTCCCTCGAGCGATCGGAGGCGCTTCCGCCAGCAGTCACTTGAGCAAGATTTTTCAGAGCTGCACCTTAACCTTTAGTTTTGCATTTTTCAAAGCACCCATCGTTCCCGTGACAAACAACCCGATCAACGCCGGGAAGACGACAACAGCGCCAGTCGTCCTGACCCAGGGACCCCAGCAGCACTTCTACATCAAGTTCACCATCATCAACCGCAACTACAGCAGCGATCTGGCACAGAGCTACTCTCCCCTGCGAACCGAGTACACCGCAAACATCTCCAACCTGGTGAGCGTCGCTTCAGGGTCACGGAGGTTTTCATCTACAAAGTGACAATTATACACGTCCAAACTTAACTTCGCTTCTCATTCCTATGTCCTCTGCCAATTCAGAGTTTGTTGCTTAAATAGTGCTGTCTGGAATCAGAGGTCAGAGCTGGCACAGCTGAGATCATGGGTTCATATCCAGGTTTCAGCCACCTGTCACTATAATGGGTTTTTCAAGTGTTGTGAGTTAATGATCTCAGCTCAGGCACCAAATACTATCCAACAATGATAAAATGTGGTTCTGCACCTAATTTGGCTAAATTCTAGCACTTAGAATAAAAAAAACAAACGTATGTGCCTTTAATAATATAGGTGAATAATATTGGTCGCGAAAGTCTACGTGTTAAGTATGTGACTTTGACTTTTATAATGCAACAAACATTACACGCCAGTATAACTTGTCAGTAGTTTCAAAATATCTGCTTCTGTGGAACATATATCATATCACCTAGGGTTGTCCTGCTTTGTAAGACATCCGAGTAAATTCTTCATCTCATAACGTGACACAAATAGCACAATTGGGATAAAATATGGGGAAAAGACAAACATGTCTAATGACACTGGTGTTTGAAGCGAGATATTTACAAATGCTTGGCTTTTCCTCTCTCTTTCAGTTGGAGAACCTGTTCTATCAGAAAATCGGCGATGCGGTGAAAGCATGCACAGTGACGAATTACTGGTACGTGTGCTAAAACTTTAATCGATAGTAAAAGTTGTCATTTTAATCTCTCTTGTGCACACACGGATCAGAGAACAAACGCAAGTTAGAGACATCGTATTGACTGTTAAAGCGAGGTTAGACATTATCAGAGATCAACTTTAAAATGCCAGGTGAAAAAAAAGGTAAAAGTGCAGCCCCGCAAGTACCTGCTCACGCCACTGCTCGCAGAAGGGCCTTAACTAGAAAGAGCTCAAGAGAGCCCCTTGCTTGGAGGTATTTGCCTCCTCTTCCAGACTGACCAGACAACTCAAAAGAGATGGGAGTACACACATTTTACCCCACCACGCGCAACCCGCTAATCGACTGTGGTTCTACCAATTCATACTGCTGGGTGAACAGAATTCACGGGGTGGATTTAAGAAGCTTCCACATATGGAGAGACTTTCCCATCATAGGAATGTCGAATTTCCAGCACTGGTTGAGCTGTAACTGGAGCTGAGCACCACCTCAACGCTCATTTGAGCAGGAAACCAGTTTACCTTTGTGTTAAACGATGATGTACATGAACTTTGTGTCATTGATGTCCGCAGGGAGGGCCCACTGGTGGTGGTTGCCAGGTGCGAGTTCACAAACACCAGCAGTGTGAACGAGTCGGTGGTTGACGCGGCCTTCAGAGCAGGAACCAACCAACTGTACAACCTGGGACTTTACCAGCTCAACACCACAGAACTTACAGTGACCAGTAAGTGGACGCCTTCATTTCAACGCGGCACGTTTACGTGGAATGATTTCAGCTGCTGTGAGACATCTCACGGACAACTGTCAATGAACCCACTTGTACTCAATACGCGGATCCATCCACTGGCTCTCAAGATCACACTCACAGTTTTAAAGATCCTCCACTGACTCATCCTTGCTTACCTTGTCACTCTCATCGCACTCTCCTCCCCATCATGCCCTCTCTGCTCCAGTAACTCAGGCTTTCTGTCAAAACCCCCAATTTACCTTTGCCCAGTGGTAGGTCGCTCATTCGCCTCTACTGCTGCCATTGGTTTGAACTCCCATCCCGCAGCCATCCATGCTGTCAACTCCATGCCCAAATAAACTCCTCTGCCTATGATTGACTATTTCAGTCTATAAAATAAGAATGCCTACCCTTCTTGTGAAATGTCTGAGGATGCGGCCGCATTTAGACGTTTTATTAATTTACATTGTAATTGTGTCAATATTTTTAAGGCTGACATGACGTCTTTGTGCACAAACAGGAACAGAACCAATGCCTCCATCTGCAACACAAGCACCTACCAGTACAGGTAAGGCAACACATTCAGCAACCAACAACAAATAACCGTGTTATATCAAGTGTGCCCCACATGACAAAATTTACTGCTCTTCCGAATTTGAAGTTGATTACGTGGACGTCTGACATCTGGCGGTGAACAATATACTGCGCATGTTGAAAACAAATATGGTGCACTAGTCCCAGAGTAATGGCCCACTCACCGTGAAATGTTTACCAAAATTTACCTAGGTTCCAGGTAACATGTGGTCACTCCCACCTCTTCCAAAACATCTAGACAGCATGGAAGAGTGGGCCAAATACCCTTTAGATGGGCTTTCTAGAAATCCGTGATGAAGGCCCTTCCATAAGCAATGGCATGAGCAAGTAAATGCAGGGCTCCACCTTTACCTTTTAGGAAGCGATGATGGTAATTTATGAGTCTGTGTGTTTGGTCCTCAGCAACTCCTCCGTCAACAACACCACCAGGCACAGGGCTGCCACCCTCAGGTACGCCACACACAACAATCCGTCCACACCACAACCACGCGGGCATCCGTAATAACAACCACAACAAATACAACTGTTTCCAACTAATGTTGAATTTGCATCGACTCTGTCTCAATGAAGTTTAATGAATACTTCCGAGGACAAATGTACGTTGCAAAGCGGCATAGAAGCCACGTATATTCATGATGTTTCTTCCTTGTACTTCTGTGTTTTAGTTTCCACCACAGTGGCTTTAACGACCAAACAGACGACCGCCACAGAAGGTAATCCGCGCGTTACCCACAGAGTACATCTCACTGTAGCAGTACCCTCCTGAAAAAGAGTCTAGGGACTCAGCGAGTCATGCTCACAATTGGCACTCCGTATTTCATTAAAAAACAAGTTGCCGATTTTATTCCCCCTTCAAAGAATTATAACCCCATAACAAAACAAAAAATACGCTCAGGAGGGGCTCCGTAGAGCTCCCTCGAGCGATCGGAGGCACTTCCGCCAGCAGTCAATTGAGCAAGATTTTTCAGAGCTGCACCTTAATCGTTACTTTTGAATTTTTCAAAGCACCCATCGTTCCCGTGACAAACAAACCGATCAACGCCGGGAAGACGACAACAGCGCCAGTCGGCCTGACCCAGGGACCCCAGCAGCACTTCTACATCAAGTTCACCATCATCAACCGCAACTACACCAGCGATCTGGCGCAGAGCTACTCTCCCCTGCGAACCGAATACACCGCAAACATCTCCAACCTGGTGAGCGTCGCTTCATGGTCAAGGAAGTTTTCGTCGATAACGTTCCAATTCTGCACTTCCAAACTTAGCTTCGCTTCGTATTCCTAAGTTCTCTGGCAATTCAGAGTCTGTTGCTTAAAAAGTACCTGTTGGAATCAGAGGTAGGAGCAGTCACAGCTGAGATACTGGGTTAGGATCCGGGCTTCAGCCGTCTTTGAATAAACCGGGTTCTCAAGTGTAGAGAGTTGATGGCCTCAGCTCAGCCACCAATAACTGCACAAAACGCAATTACATCAGAGGTGGCCGAGTCGCTCAGCGGTCAGAGACCAAAGCCGGCACAGCTGAGATACTGGGTTCATATCCAGGCTTCAGTCGGCCGTGAATACGCTGGGTTTTTCAGTGTGGTGAGTTGATTATCTCAGCTCGGTCATTAAAGACTGCCCCAAAAAATATCAACTTTGGTTAAATTTCACCTCTGAAAATTCATAAAGTATAGGAATATGTATTACTGTGGACCAGAGGTCACTAGAAGGGATCTCAGAGGTAGTTCTATGATATGTGCTTCTGTGAGCCGTACATTATATCAAGAAGGGTTGTACTGCTCTGTGAGAGTTTTTAATAAATTATTTGTCTCAAGACGGGACACCAAAAACACGGTTGGGATATAATAAATAAAATGTGTCATGACACTGACGTTTGAAGCAAGCTGTTTGCAAATGCTTGACTTTTGCTCTCTCTTTCAGTTACGACACCAATAGCACAGTTGGGATATAATAAATTAAATGTCTCATGACACTGACGTTTGAAGCGAGCTGTTTGCAAATGCTTGACTTTTGCTCTCTCTTTCAGTTGGACAACCTCTTCCCTCAGAAAATAGGAGATGCATTCCAAACATGCCACGTGGCGAATTACTGGTACGTGCCAATTTAATCTTTGACACACTTCAGACAACAAACACAAGTTCGAGACATCGCATTGACTGTTACGATAAGTGGGCTTCAATGTTATAATTGAACACATTTAAAATGGATGAAGGTAAAGGTACAGCCCTGCAAGTACCTGCTCGCACCACTGCTGTCGGAGGGAGCTCAAAGAGAGCCACTTGCTTTGGGGCATTTGTCTTCTCTTCTTGGAAGAGTTGGGAGTTACCCACACTTTACCCCACCATGCACAACACACCGATTGCTTCTACCCATTCATACTGCTGGGTGGACTGCCATGGGGAGAAATAAAATTGAACCGATAAAATCAAATCTGGATTGCAAGTCCAGTATGATAACCATTGTACCACAGCAGCATCCCTGAAAGTGTGGAAGCTGACAGTAGATTTTTTTTTGAAAACTAACTTTGCATCATTGATTTCCGCAGGGAGGGCCCACTGGTGGTGGTTGCCAGGTGCGAGTTCACAAACACCAGCAGTGTGAACGAGTCGGTGGTTGACACGGCCTTCAGAGCAGGAACCACCCAACTGAGCGAACTGGGACCTTACCTGCTCAACAACACAGACCTCACAGTGACCAGTAAGTAGATGGCACCCATCTTAAGATAAAAGTTTCCTTACAAGTGTCAGTGCAATGACTTTGGCAACTCACGCAGTGGTGGCCAGATGGCTCATGGGTAAAGAGATGCTGAGCGGGTACCGCTGAGTACCTGGGTTCAAACCGAGGTTTCAGCTGCTCGTGAGTTGATCATCTCAGCGTGGTCGCCGATGAATGCACAAAACAAAACAATCACATTATATATTTTCTTCTCCTCAATTTGGGTGAATTCCAACTCTGAGAATTAAACAAATCTTTATTTACGTGATGAACATTTTTCCATGGATTAAAGAAGTCACTTGAAGAGATCTCAGAAGTAGTTCCGTATAATCTAATTCCACTGACCGTTCTCTAATACGGGTATGATGCACTGCTCAACTAAAGTTCTTGAATGGATACTTGCTTATGAAATGTAATCAACGTGGGAACATTTTTTTTTTATAAAAATAAATTTGTACAAAATGTGCAAACTCGCAGAGTCGCACTACTTTGCACTCACAAACTGATGTCTGTGTTACCAGGGATTGAACCCACTCCTCCGAATGCAACGCAAGCACCTACCAGCCCCGGTAAGACCCCTGGTATATCTCTACATGCAGCGTCCATTAGCAGAGACACAGTGCAGTTAACCCCTCCTTGTATTTGGACTTCACTGAGACATAAACGCACAACACGACAGCGTCACAATGCAGTTCAATTATTAATTTAGGTTTTTAAGCAAGCGGTGCATGCGTGGAATCTTGTGCAAAATTATTTGTCGTATTTTAATTCATATAGGTTGTATATCGTGGGTTTACGTAACTCCTTACAACCACTACAGATTCCTCCATTCACCACAATGCTCACAAAAAAAATGTAATCGCCATTCGGAATAATGATAATTGCATGAATTGCCTTGGTGTGGTGAATCATGACACCTTTATTTCAAAGCAGAACACATAATGAAATCCTATGTATAAAATATATTTTAAATTGTATATATATTGTATAGGGCCTTTGACGCCAATTCACATTCGTGCTCGTCCCTTATTTTAATTTATGATTTCAATTCTGATGTCTCCATGGTGCAGCAGTTAGCGCAATGCACTTGCAATCCAGAGACGTCTAACCAGCGTGAAAGATTAAGTCAAAAATACACTGTTTAAGAGGGGCTATCTCATGCTCAATCTAGCGAGCGGGGGCCCTTCTGCCAACAGTCGCTTGAGCAAGTAATTGCAGGGCTGCACCTTAACCTTAACTTTTTATTTTTCAAAGCATCCATCGCTCCCGTGACAAACAAACCGGTCAACGCCGGGAAGACAACAGCGGCAGTCGGCCCGACCCTGGAATCCCTGCAGCATTTCTACATCAAGTTCACCATCGTCAACCGCAACTACAGCAGCGATCTGGCACAGAGCAACTCTACCCTGCGACAAGAATACACTGCAAACATCTCCGGCCTGGTAAGCATCGCTGCACGGAGATCCTGAGATTCTAAGATACTGTATTCTCTGGATTACGAGACACAAAATCTAAAGTATGATGCACCGCAAACTCTTCCCCGGTGTCAAAAAGGACAACAAATCTGGTCACACATGCAAACACCGACCAGAATTTATTACGAGATGCACCCCAAATGTTGGCTGTAAAACAGAGGTGGGGCAAGAAGTGTAATATCTATAATCAAGAGTATATGGCAATACAAACGACACTGGCATTAACTAAATACATTGACACGTACACACATGCATACATGCAAACATACTGGTTAGCCACTCACAGAACAGATCACAGGATATTGCTCTGCACTTTTTCTAAATGATGCGCATGTGCGTTCCCTCAGCTGGAAGACCTTTTCCGAAAGCAAGTCGGCAATGCACAGCACAACTGCACCGTCACAAATTACTGGTGAGTTTAATATTACTCCTCATTTTCACTCGCGTGCTTTCAATGACGGCATCTCACGACGGTAATCGTGATTATCGGAGTTGATCAAAGGTGTTAACGCTAACGGGGATCTTCTTCAGGCCTGGCACACTGGTGGTGGTGGTTGCCAAGTGTGAGTTCACAAACACCAGCAGTGTGGACGAGTCGGTGGTTGGCGCGGCCTTCAGAAACGGAACCGAACAACTGACCAGCCTGGGACTCTACCTGCTCAACACGACAGACCTCAATGTGACCAGTAAGCGAGCGAACGCCTTCATTTAAAGATGAACGATTCACACCATGTTCACATGGGATGATTTTAGCTGCTGAAAGACACCCACAGCTGTCAATGAGACCACATGCACTCAATATGCTGATTTCTCGACTTCATTTTAACAACCATATTTTGGATCCCAAAAAAGTCTAAGTGATATTCAGGCTCAAATGAGCACTGAGGCATTGGTGATCATCTCCCGTTTACATCCCTGAGCCAGTAAAGGAAATTCCACATTCCTATGACAGAGCTGATCGCTTCATAGGACAACCACTGTTGACTTCTATTAAATGTGTTTCTTTTATCGACCCAAGGGGATGATGGGCTGAGGCAATGCACTCAACCAGGAGTTGAACTCACAAACTTCCAATTGCGAGCCGCTCACTCTACCGCTGAGCTACCTGCCCTGTTACATAGGTTGCCAACACGTTTGCTCGGGTGTGTAACAAATACGTGGGAGAAAAAAAATTAGATCGCTGAGTTTTAGTTTATGTTCGGGGCAGTTTTTTAACCTCTTGGGGAGCAGCAGTTCTATGCATTGTGCCACCTCTAGTACACACGCGATGCAAGCGCATGACATCTTGACCCACACATGTTTCTGTACGAACAGGAACGGAGCCATTACCTCTGACACAAGCTTCAACCACCGCAGGTAAAACAACAGGTTCACCTCCTGACACAGTCCTTGCAGTCACTAGAGACCACTGCATTCTCCGCAGCGTTGACAAAATAAATGATCCCTGAATCGAATCGCCATCCGGAATCATGGTGATTGCATGAATTTGCCTTGGTAGTGGTGGTGAATTATGCCACCTTTTTTTCTAAGCAGAAAACAATGAAATCTCATGCAAAATTTTAAGCACAGCTTGCATGTATAGTGAGTCCTCGCTAAATGCGGGTTCACGCAATGCGTGTTCGCTAAAACGCGGTTCTTTTACGAGAGAACACTTTTCACAACGCGGAACGCACCGTTGCCACGCAGTTTCTGAGCAGTCGACGACGATCTACTTTCTTGAGCTGCGCAGTACAGTGATAGAGTGCAGGGAATGATGCAGTACACGCAGGCGGCGTACCCTCATCTCAGTTCTTTGTCCTGCCATGGGATGACTGCAGGCTGATTTATAGTGCAAATGTCATTCGAATTTACATGGTTTGTTATTTCGTTATGCCCTGTAATGTATATACGATAATTACTCGGTCAACTCGGTTTTACTTAACGTGACACTTTTAAGGAACGCATATACTGCGTTAAACGAGGAATTACTGTATATACATAAAAACTATATATACACACGGGCTTCAATGCTAATTTGTATTCATGCTCGTTATTTATTTTCAATTCTGATGTTGCCGTGGTGGTAACGGTTAGCACACTGGACTTGTAATCCGGAGATGTGAGCCGGCGTGGAAGAATTAAGCCAAAACTACGCTCCCTAGTGCTCAATCTAGCAAGCAGAGGCCCTTCCACCAACAGTGGTGTGAGCAAGCAATTTCAGTGCTGCACCTTATCCTATACTTTTTCATGTCTTAAAGGACCAATCGTTCCCGCGGCGACGACGATGAAGACAACAGCGGCAGTCAGCCCGATCCCAGAACCCCTGCAGCATTTCTACATCAAGTTCACCATCGTCAACCGCAACTACAGCAGCGATCTGGCGCAGAGCAACTCTACCCTGCGACAAGAATACACTGCAAACATCTCCGGCCTGGTAAGCATCGCTGCACGGAAATCGTGAAATTCTAAGATACTGTATTCTCTGGATTATGAGACACACAATGATGCACCGCAAACTCTTCCCCGGTGTCAAAAAGGACAACAAATCTGGTCACACATGGAAACACTGACCAGATTTATTACGAGATGCACCCCAAACGTTGGCTGTAAAACAGAGGTGGGGCAAGAAGTGTAATATCTATAATCAAGAGCATATGGCAATACAAACGACACTGGCATTAACCAAATACATTGACACGTACACACATGCATACATGCAAACATACTGGTTAGCCACTCACAGACCAGATCACAGGATATTGCTCTGCACTTTTTCTAAATGATGCGCATGTGCGTTCCCTCAGCTGGAAGACCTTTTCCGAAAGCAAGTCGGCAATGCACAGCACAACTGCACCGTCACAAATTACTGGTGAGTTTAATATTACTCCTCATTTTCACTCGCGTGCTTTCAATGACGGCATCTCACGACGGTAATCGTGATTATCGGAGTTGATCAAAGGTGTTAACGCTAACGGGGATCTTCTTCAGGCCTGGCACACTGGTGGTGGTGGTTGCCAAGTGTGAGTTCACAAACACCAGCAGTGTGGACGAGTCGGTGGTTGACGCGGCCTTCAGAAACGGAACCGAAAAACTGACCAGGCTGGGACTCTACCTGCTCAACACGACAGACCTCATAGTGAACAGTAAGTGAACTCTCTCACAACACCGACATACACGTGTTAACGAAACACATGCCTAAAAAATCCAACTGTGCACTGACTGAAAACTTTCCTCTTTATACGTTGCTATGTAATTACTCTAAAGATTCAAATAAAAAAAACGTTGTGATCATACCATCTCACTTGGCTAAGGGCATTGCTCTTCAGTCACCTCATCACTCTTACAATGTTATATACTGTATACATATATGTACACGATTAAATTTTTCTAAGTTATTTTTTTTTTACCATGACGGCAGCGACGACCGTGTGATGAACGCGTTTTCATCTGTACTTTGCAGGAACTGAGCCGTTACCTCCAACAGAGGCACCAATAGCAGCTCCAGAGACACTCGTGGCATTCTTCATCAAGTTCACAGTGGTGAACTACAATTACACGGTTGATCTGGACAACAGCAGCTCTCCATTGTATCAGGAACACTCGAAGAACATCTCTCAAGAGGTGAGCGATCGCTTGTACACGATAACAGGGGGCGAGCAACGTATGGCCCATGACTTCACTTCAGGCGGGCCCGCGACCGCATGAGGCCTACCGCTTAGTAATGGCCTGTTAAGGAATTTTACCCTCAAGGCTCTCCGACGTGTTTTCGCCATCATGACCGACGTTTCGCTGGACATACTGGGAGCTTCTTAACCCACAACGTGCAGTCAAACGCCAGGCATCATGCCGAACAACACACGGTCCAAACCTGAAAAACGCATAAGGAAACAATATGGCACAACCACCAAAGCCTATGCAGCAATGATGTGTATCCATCACTGCAAGCATCCTGGCTGCACAAATGGGCGGGTATAATAAGGGAATGTTTTCGGCCTGGCCACAACAGTGTTTGTAATGTTTGCATACTCAGTCACCCGTACAGATGAGCCCTCATAAATGTTGTGTTATTACTGGATAACGCTAAGGTGTGTGTTCATGTGTAGTCTACCACGAATGAAGAAAGATACCCCACACATGCTGTATAAGCATGAAAATAAATACTATGTGGCGCACATGTGATATTCCAGTTAATCTGATGCTTTATGTGTTTCTTTCAGCTGGAGAAACTGTACAAAAATGTCAAGGGAATCAATTTGAAGAACTGCACCGTTGTAGACTTCTGGTATGCTTATAATTTAAATCCGCCATTTCAATTCCTCAATATTTTGCATTGCAGTGTTATTGTGATTGTCATATATATGGAATCTGAGCGTTGGCTCGGTGATTCGCATCATGCCATGAACATAAGAATCAGTTACTTAACCCATCCTTCTGCCAGTGCCTTGGCGTCATTGGGGCACGACTATTTATTTCACCGCTGTCTCCTTGCAGTGCCTATCCACTTTTCTCTGTACATCGTTGTGTTCTTTAACTAAGACGGCTTCGATCCTGTCCAGTGGTTGATGTTTGATGTCCAGTCAGTTCATGGTATTCTTTTCCCCTAGCACCTGAATGAACTTGAAAATATGGCCTTCCTTCTCTTCCCAGACCACCTTTGAGTGTGGCTACAAGTTGCGGTTTAAGGCACTGATGTTTTTCTCTTTCATAGGGACCAACCACTGGCGGTGGTTGCAAAGTGCTTCTTCGTCAACACCAGTGACGTCAACAACAACAGCGTACATGAAAACTTCAAGAATGGGACGAAATCGCTGAAGAAACTCGGAAATTACAGCCTCACTGAGAAAGACGCGGACGTCACAGTAACAAGTGAGTCGAGAATTCTCTGTCACTCTCACAGAGCCCATTTTCTGAATTGTGCTACAATATGTATTTTTACAAAACGATCATCATCCACTGCTGGATGAAGGCCTTGCCAAGTCACCACCACCTCTCAGTCTTATTATGCAATAATCCACAAATGAAAAAGGGCTGTAAATATTTATAATTTTTACTTATTAGTTCCTGTGAATAAAATTCACCACGACAAAATCGTAGCCTTCATTGGTCGCGTTGTTTTTCACAGAGGAACAACCCGTGCGTCCCACCGTACAACCCGTGCGTACCACCGTACAACCCATGCGTCCCACCGTACAACCCGTGCGTCCCACCGAAGCCCTGAAGGATTTCGACATTCAGTTCACGATCCACAACCACACCTTCAAAAAGGAACTCAAGGATAACAATTCTTCAATCTACAAAGAATATGTAAAGAACATCACCGAACTGGTAAGGGTTATTTTGCCTCAAGTTTTCTCCTACACGAATCAAGACACTTGTTCCAAATACCCAAATGTAGCAGGACCCTCCTAAGAAAAAAAGTATTGAAACCCAGTAAGGGGGTAGAGCGGTGGCAATGTGGGTAGGTGCGCTCTGCTATAAACCCGGCAACCCCAGTTGTTGACATCAATGGTGAGTTATATCTGAACTGGTCCTGGGTTCCACTGCCTTCACCAACTCGCACCGACTAGTGTGGCCAAGTATGGTCAAACAACCCCAAATTTACAGAAATTTACTGTTTTCAGCTGCGTGTAATGATGCTCACAATGTTTCATTTCAGGTGGAGAACCTCTACAGGACAAAGTACAACAAGACACTGCACTACTGCGTGATAACCGGTTTCACGTACGTGATTTGACTTGCACCATTTTTTTTACTCGATTTGTCGAAGCTACAAGCTGTGTTGTTTGAGATTGTACGTACTTTCAAAGGAATGCATGTATGACTGAGATCCTGGGTTCCAATCTGGGTTTCAAATATTTGTGATTGACAGTATAGGAGATGATGGACTCAACCCGAGTCATCAATAACTGCACACAAATTAACCCGTAACATTAAATATGGTCATGCATTTAATTTGGTCAAATTCCAGCTCTGAGAATTACAAATATATCGGTTTGACCATCATGCAACGAATATTACTCTCTGTGGCTAAGGTGTGTAGGAAAGTGCTACCTTCTACTGCGTGGATCGAAATTAAACTAAGGTTTGTGATACTGTATTGGCAGTGGTGCAAAAACACAAGAAACAAAAACTCAACAGAGTTATCAGTACCACTGCCCCTAAAGATGTAAACATATATAATATGTTACGTTTTGGACAGTGGAGCGATGAAATTAGCTCTTGTGCAGGTGCTGGGTGGATTTTTACATCGCGGTATTGTGGCGGCTTGGGTTGCCTTCATCCAGCAAGTGAATTAACTATGGCTGCTACTACTGATGATGATAGCATTCTTTGTTTTTTTGTTTGGCATTACAGAGAAGGCTCAATCAAAGTGGATTGCAAATGCTACTTCACAAATAGCAGCACAGTGACAGTAGCCGACATCCTAGAAACATTCTCCAACAAAACGGATGGCATCGACGTGCTCGGAGCTTACAAGCTGCAGCCCAACAAGCTCACAGTGAATGGTACGTCGCGTGTGTGTGTATGTCTGTGTTTTTGAGGGGAGCGGTAGTGTAGTGGTTAGCGTGCTGCACTACGAGCCCGGCCCGCCGGGTTCGGTTCCCGCTCACGGCCAACACTAATACCTGGTGAGGTGTGTAAACATCACCACTGGGGAGACAAAGGCGGCCAGGCGTGGTGTTGGCCACCCACCCCGTCGTGTGCCGTGCCGGCCTTGACAGGTGCTCGCTAACAGAACTTGCCCCATATACGGGGGATCTTTATTTTTGTCTTTATGTGCCTAGCACAATAAGGAAAGTAATGTGGAGGTGGGAATAGAGTGTGGCTGAAAAGTGTTGTAGATATGAGGTTTGTAATGGGTGGGACTCGAACGGCGGATGTCTTGTTGCACCCATGGGACCGTGAGAGATAAACAAGGGCTTTGGGAAACCTTCATTTACTGTTGGATGGTACGTAATAAGGGGGCGGGGGGTTTCTTGTTGTACAATTTTACTGTTTTGTGAAAGTAGGTATCTCGCCGTAACACATTGATGGCCAGGGTTTCAGACTGACTCGCTCTGACTTATTTTAGGAATAAAGCCCGAACATGAGAAGTTGAAAACATTCTACATACAATTCCGTCCAATCCTGAAAAAGGAAACTCCAGACGAAGCTTTCAAAAAGAATGTTACAGATGAGGTATGGGACTAACCAAGGTTGCTGCAATACGATACGATATATTACACGGAAAGTGTATTGCCAGTGTTGCGCAATGTGTTCATATTGACCCAGACTTAAAGCATCAATGAGCTCTTACCTGGAAGCCCCCAGTCAACATCGATCTCTGCTGTCCCCACAATAATTCTGGAACTCCCTGCCTTCATCCGTGCTGCTGGCCCCCTGCCCCAATTTCCAAGAGCTTCCTCATCTCCCCTGCCAATGACTGCTTCTTTCTCGACGTAAAATATTTCATGCTCACTTTCTATACAGCTTCTTGAGATTTGGTCACGTTTAGATGCTAATATGAATCTACCTTGTATCACATTGTACAGCTCACCCAAAATTCTAGATAATGTGGACATGGAGGGGGGCTCGTTTAATTATTTACACCAAGCCCAGGGTTGCCACCTGTTCTGTTTTGCCAAAAAAGTCTCCTTATCGAGGTAGCTGCTGTCCTCGCAAATCTGTAATTTCTTCCAGAGACATGAAGAGACCCGGTAATAATGTCCCACTGAAGACAATGCATTTACATCACGTCCTGTCCTGTTCTGTTATTGTGAGATATTCTTCTTTCCATGATGTGTCCCACTATTTTGTATCTCAAGCGTTGGCAACCCTAACCAGGGCCCATGCCAACCGTGCTCCACCGCCGAGTTTGATGGAAATGTGTGTGCATTCGTCTTGCAGCTGGAGAAACTCTTTAATCAGGAGCTTGTGAACATCACACGCAACTGCAGCTGGGTGGACAAGTAAGAGACCACTTTGGTTCAGTATTGCCTGACGGTTAATTTCTACAGCATTTTCTTTAATATTTGTCATAGTCTTAGTCTTTGGATTTCAGTTGATAATTGAACCTTATGGCGGGACCCCAGGGTGCCATAAGCCCCCGGCTCTCACATAAACTGCATTGCAACGTCATTTTATGTCTGTTGAAGGCGAACGATACGGCAATCTATTCCTCTCGACGAACTCTACGCGATGCGCTAATCAAAGTTTCAAAGTTTTGTTTATAACTACGGCAATTTTGGCAATGACGGGTGCTTGGTGAAGACCGAGAGGATTGATTTCTGGTGGGTCGCGGCGTTTATGTGCACGGTGGGATGGAGTCGCCAAAAATAAATGAATTAATTACGATTTTGACTTCCATTTATTCGGGACCCCGGGGTCCCACCATAAGGTTCAATTACTGATTTGGAATTTGGTGATTAGGCACCAAAGTTGTGAAACAGCTTATTCAGCAATGTTATAAGTGCGCCCACAACTCAGCAATGAAAAGCATTCTTTTCAGATGTCGTATGAATAAGTGGACAAGAGAGTAGTCTCTTGCAAGTGAGACTATCCTTGTCTCTGGTTACACAAAATAAACCGAACCTTGAACTTCACATCCTGCAGGACTCCAGATTCTATCATCATTGAGAAGTGCGACTTTCTGGACTCACCGGATCTCAACGAAAAAGTCATCGAAGACGCCTTCTTCAAAGGAACAAAAAACATCACCAAGCTGGGCAACTACGACCTCATAAACGATGGCATCTTCAAAGTTTCACGTAAAGCCATTTTCATCTTTCATAATTGTTTTGCTTAGCTTTCAAGTGTATTGTATTCTGCCACGGTGTAATGGTTGGCACACACTACACTTACAATCCAGAGGTGGCCAATTCGATTCGATCTCCTGGCATGCCAGTTGAGACAATTGGGCAGGTTTATTAATGCCTCCAACTCTGTTGACCAAGCAATATAAATATATACGCCACAATTGGACGATCGGTGTAGTGAATTAAAGTGTTGATACTCCCACCTCTTTTAAGATATCAGCTGTTGTCAAGAGATTGAGATTAGTGAGATGAAAACGAGATAAATAAGAGATAGAGATGAAAAAGCTGCAGACAAGAGATACAGATGAGTGACCACAGGGAAGTAAGATACATTTTTGGGATGTTTGTCCAACTCCATTCATGTTTATACATGTGGAGAGGAAACTGGAGTACCCGGATTGTCACAGATGATTAATGCTAATTATGTATTTATTATTATTACAGCCAAACCAATCGTGCCGCCACCTGCAGAGAAGCTGAAGCCGTACTACCTAAAATTCACCGTCACCAACCACAAGTACAAAACCGACCTGGAGACCGTGACCTCTCAGTCTTATGCAAACATCACCAAGGGAATCTCTGCAGAGGTACAGCATATCAGCACAATGTCCAGAGTTATTACGTTTATTTCATGTTAACTGGAAAGAAAATATTATAATTGCCGCAGGTGCCCAGGTGGCTCAGAAGATCAGACGGAGCACTGAGCTGACACCGCTCACATCCTGAGTCTGAATCCAGGTTTCGGCCACCTGAAGTTCACCTGGGTTTCTCAGTTGTAGATAGTTGATGGTCTCAGTGACTTACACAGAAGTGTATTAACTTATATTGAGACCCATATATTCTGTTTAGTGATGTAATGGTCTTAGCCGAGTCACCAATCAGTTCAAAAAAACCCCATCACGTTAAATTAGATTCTGAAATTTAGATAATTTCTAGTTCTGATAATTGGTCTTACTATCACGAGAATTATTCTTATATGCACAGAGAGTGGGGAAATGTTTCCCTTCAATGTGTGGACCAGTAGCCACTTGAAACGATATCAGTGGTAGCTCTGTGATATCCATTTCTGTGGGCCGGACTCTAACACGAAGGGTTGCACTGCTCTGCGAGTCCCAAACATATTGTCACATGACATGACACCGATAGCGCAGGATACGATTGGGGGGAATAACAACAAATGTATAACACAGAAAAATACTATTTCGTATTAACTTGCAATGCTCTTTCCAATTTCAGCTGGATAAGTTGTTCAACAAAGAAATTGGAAACAAGTCTCACGGATGCACAGTCGTGGATTACTGGTAAGGGAGCCAACTCCACTCCTTGACTCCCCTACCCATGTTGAGCACGAGGTCTAGCAGACAGACTGTTTTATAGCATCCACTTTCTGTTCAACCATTACACTTGAGATCCAAACGCTTCTCTTTCTGATTTTGTCCTCACACTGCCCCCACCTTCGAATTCCCTCCCATCGTTTTCGTTTCTCAAAATTCATATAACCTTGCTCAGCCCAAGAAACACGTGAACCGCATTCTCTGCATTATAAGATGCTCCTAAAAGTAAGATGCACCCCAAACTCATACCCAATGTCAATTCATTTATACAAACCTGATCACACACACTGCTTAACACGTCTTTTGGGAGTGCATTATGTCAGCAGCACTGGATCAACGTAAACAGATTATTGACTATTTTTAGCATTAGATGTCTCATCAGCAGTCATGCTTGTTTGAACAAATGCTTAACTGCCAGATGTTCGAGGTAAGGACCCTCTCAATTAGACATAGTCTCAGTTTGACACAAAACCACAACACAGATCATGACCAAAGAATAAAATACATTGTTTTATTTTCTCACCAACCTCCCTTTTCCAAATTTTTCAGTCTAGATTGTTGTTAAAAAGGATAAGTAAACTTTGAAAAGACATTTCTATGAAATAAATGGAAAGTGTTGTCATTAATCGGGAGGTTTCTGTTCTCCAGGCCGGCAAATAACGACGGTGCACTGAAGGATTTGGTGGTGGTGGCTAAGTGCAACTTCACAGACACGCCGGAAGTGAACGAGAACGTCGTTAGGGACGCATTCTACAAGGGCACCAACGGAACTTATAAACTCGGAGCATACGACTTGAAAAACAACGCCTTGGAAGTCAACGGTATGATCTGAAAGTGCAAGCAGAGTCCACGCTCAATTATCATGGGGTCGCCCGAATAAAACAAACAACATGGAAAATGCAATAGACGTGACCATTACTGAATTGGGACAAACCATAGAGTAACATCACCCATTATTGGCAGACTAATGCCCACTTGCAGGCTGGTGCTGCATGCATCTTGTGCTAAACAGGGACAGCTGCCACTGAGGGTCTCTTCTTGGCTAGGCTAGAGGAGTGCATTGGAATGGTTGAGATTGAGATGCTGAAGTAAGTTGCTTTCAGTTGCTGAGATATTTAAGCAAGTGCCCTATACACACACATCCTGAGAAGACTACCGAAATGTATGTATTGCTGACCTATGGGGATCTCTCCAGAGCTCCCTCTAGTCGAGGCCCTTTCACCAGCAATGGCATGAGCAAGATATTGAAGGGCTGTACCTTTGATAATGGCAAACGTTTTAAAAAGTTATCTTATGTGTATAAATAAAAATGCTGCAACAAAGGATGAACTCAGATTACTTAAGTACTTGTTCACAACTTAAGCTGAATAAAAAATAACAACCAAAAAGAAGTTACCAGCATGTGGAGCGAAACTTTGGTGCCCAACCACACGCGGTGCAACTTGAAACCACATCGGATAGCTACGCAGCACAAACTAAAACACCTCCACCTTAAAACAAAACGTAGCTTGTTTAAATAAAATTTGTGTAACCTGTGTGGAGTGTACCGTAAACCCCCATTGTACATATTTACATTACAGTTTCACATGTTTTCCACCCCTTGTCTGAATACAAATTATTTTGGCAGTTCATTTGAGCTGGTGGTCTGGATAGATGTGGAGAGGAAACTGGAGTACCTGGATTGATCACAGATGATTAATGCTGATTATGTATTTATTATTATTACAGCCGAACCATTCGTGCCACCAACTGCAGAGAAGCTGAAGCCGTACTACCTAAAATTCACCGTCACCAACCACAAGTACAAAACCGACCTGGAAACCGTCACCTCTCAGTCTTACGCAGACATCACCAAGGGAATCTCTGCAGAGGTACAGCATGTCAGCACAATCTCCAGAGTTATTCTGTTTATTGTATGTTAACTGGAAAGAAAATATTATAATTGCCGCAGGTGCTCAGGTGGCTCAGAAGATCAGACGGAGCACTGAGCTGACACCGCTCACATCCTGAGTCTGAATTCAGGTTTCAGCCACCTGAAGTTCACCTGAGTTTCTCAGTTGTAGATAGTTGATGGTCTCAGTCTGTTCACAGTGACTTACACAGAAGTGCATTAACTTATATTGAGACCCATATATTCTGTTTAGTGATGTAATGGTCTTAGCCGAGTCACCAATCAGTACAAAAAAAACCCCATCACGTTAAATTAGATTCTGAAATTTAGATAATTTCTAGTTCTGATAATTGGTCTTACTATCACGAACATTATTCTTATATGCACAGAGGGTGGGACAATGCTTCCCTTCAATGTGTGGACCAGTGGTCACTTGAAACGATATCAGCGGTAGCTCTGTGATATCCTTTCTGTGGGCCGGACTCTAACACCAGACTCTAACACGAAGGGTTGCGAGTCCCGAACATATTGTCACATGACATGACACCGATACCGCAGGTTAAGATTGGAGGGAATAACAACAAATGTATAACACAGAAAAATACTATTTCGTATTAACTTTCAATGCTCTTTCCAATTTCAGCTGGATAAGTTGTTCAACAAAGAAATTGGAAACAAGTCTCACGGATGCACAGTCGTGGATTACTGGTAAGGGAGCCAACTCCACTCCTTGACTCCCCCACCCATGTTGAGCACGAGGTCTAGCAGACAGACTGTTTTATGGCATCCACTTTCTGTTCAACCATTACACTTGAGGTCAAAACGCTTCTCTTTCTGCTTTTTTTCCTCACACTGCCCCAACCTTCGAATTCCCTCGCATCGTTTTCTTTTCTCAAAGTCCATATAACCTTGCTCAGCCCAAGAAACACGTGAACCGCATTCTCTGCATTATAAGATGCTCCTAAGAGTGAGATGCACCCCAAACTCGTACCCAATGTCAATTCATTTATACAAACCTAATCACACACACTGCTTAACACGTGTATATCTCCTGGATATAAGACCCACATCCAACTTTTGCTTTAAACTAAACAGGGGAAAATTGCGTCTCATAATAATACGGTAACGTTTATCTATTACACCTTCAATCGTACTGTTTGTTGCTGATCACTCGGAGTTTTTGGACCTTTAGGCTTGTGCTGAGCAACCATTATTGCTACAATTACGTAATCCATATTTTGAGCACCTCCATCACACTATCAATCCATACATGCCTGCTGGGCATTGAGCCGTCATCAGTCTCGACCCCCTCGGGACACACGAACACCTGAAGATCGCCTACAGTGCTCTCAAGACTGCTCCGGTTTAGGCAATGTAAATCACACAAACTCTCCACATTCGACCACTGAATAAACCTCATGCGGGAAGCTTCCACCCCTAAGAGGGCTCTGTCGCAGGGATCACTGATGGTGTATAAGTAGATACAGCACCCCACCCTGCTCCCCCACCGTATTAATTCCATTTTCTTCACCATGTGAAGCCAACCATAAACTGCTCTCCCCTCCGTTATTCTTCTTCTCCCGTCCTTTAATATTCTCCTTCATCTGTCTCCCAGTCCCTTACTTAGCTTGCCCTCTGTTGTCCTGACATCATTCTTTTTTTTTTGTTATCTTCTTTGAACCTATCTACGTGACTTTACCGAAAGACCCAAGGAATATGAATTCCTGCAGTCACGAAAGCTTTCAGTCAAGATTGATTATTTTACACGTCATGAGTCGCACGGCATTATGTCAGCAGCACTGGATCAACGTAAACAGATTATGGACTGTTTTTAGCATTAGGTGTCTTATCAGCAGTCACGCTTGTTTGAACCAATGCTTAACTGCCAGATGTTCGAGGCAAGGACCCTCTCAATTAGACATAGTCTCAGTTTGACACAAAACCACAATACAGATCACGACCAAAGAATACAATACATTGTTTTCTTTTCTCACCAACCTCCCTTTTCCAAAATTTGCAGTCTAGATTGTTGTTAAAATGCATAAGTAAACTTTGAAACGACATATATATTAAATCAATGGAAAGTGTTGTCATTAATCGGGAGGTTTCTGTTCTCCAGGCCGGCAAATAACGACGGTGCACAAAAGAATTTGGTGGTGGTCGCTAAATGCAACTTCACAGACACGCCGGATGTGAACGAGACCGTCGTTAAGGACGCATTCTACAAGGGCACCAACGGAACTGAAAAACTTGGAGCATACGACTTGATGTACAACGACATTGTCATCAACGGTATGATCTGAAAGTGCAAGCGGAGTCCACGCTCAATTATCAGGGGTTCGCCCGAATAAAACAAAGAACATGGACAATGCAATAGACGTGACCATTACTGAATTGGGACAAACCATAGAGTAACATCACCCATTATTGGCAGACTAATGCCCACTTTCAGGCTGGTGCTGCATGCATCTTGTGCTAAACAGGGACAGCTGCCACTGAGGGTCTCTTCTTGGCTAGACTAGAGGAGTGCATTGGAATGGTTGAGATTGAGATGCTGAAGTAAGTTGCTTTGAGTTGCTGAGATATTTAAGCAAGTGCCCTATACACACACATCCTGAGAAGACTACCAAAATGTATGTATTGCTGACCTATGGGGATCTCTCCAGAGCTCCCTCTAGTCGAGGCCCTTTCGCCAGCAATGGCATGATCAAGATATTGAAGGGCTGCACCTTGATAATGGCAAAAGTTAAAAAAAGTTGTCGTCTCATGTGTAAAAATCAAAATGCTGCAACTAAGGATAAACTCAGATTACTGAAGAACTTGTTCACAACTTAAGCTGAATAAAAAAATAGCCAAATAGAAGCTCCCAGCATGTGGAGCAAAACTTTGGTGCCCAACCACACGCGGTGCAACTTGAAACCACATCAGAGAGCTACGCAGCACAAACTAAAACACCTCCACCTTAAAACAAAACGTAGCTTGTTTAAATAAAATTGTGTGTAACCTGTGTGGAGTGTACCGTAAGCCCCCATTGTGCATATTTACATTACAGTTTAAAATGTTCTCCTCCGCTCGTCTGAATACAAATTATTTTGTCAGTTAATTTGAGCTGGTGGTCTGGATAAGGCGGAGTTTTTGGCCATGCAATTCACGTTATTGCATTGTAAAATGTTTGTTTTCCAGCCTAGACTCATGTTTCTGTTGTGATAGGTTTTCTCGTCATTGACATATATTAATTAATTATTTTGTCACGTTTCAACAGCACAAAGACCCTCCCAACCTGAAGTCTTGCAAGACTTCAACATCCAGTTCACCATATCGAACCACACGTTTGCGCCAGACCTGTACAACCCAAACTCATCACTGTACAAGGAATATGTGAAAAACATTACCGATCGGGTGAGTTTGAATCATGAAAATTTGAATCCTACTAATTTTCTGCTTTAACTAATCCCTTAACCACCCACCCCGAGATGAATTTTAGCTGGGTCTGTCTGGGTTGGAAAGAATATCCACTGTACCTCTCACTGTGGCTCTATATATATGTATGTTGAACTTTTTTCGCACTGTACATAGCCAACCGTGCTAATCGGTTGTGCGGGGAAAGGACAACAAACTAAAATTAAAAAGCAGTTCAAAAGCAATGAGTTTTCAATTTAGATTTAAAAGTGCATAAGCTCCAGTGGCTTCCTAATATCAGAAGGAAGAGCATTCCAGACGGCCGCAGAAGGGCATCTGCACCACCTTTATGGAGACCGCTGGGTTCATAAACTTTTGATAGTAACAGCAACAGCCGCCATCCTCCGCTGCTGATGATTATCAACATCATCAGTAACAACATCATATCCCATCCACTGCTCATGTTTCCATGTCCTTCCTCTCCATTTTAGTGCCTCCTATTTCACTCCACCCATCCCATATTTTTCTCGGTCGTCCACTGCCTCTATTTCCTTCCACTGTTGCTGTAATTTATTTTTATGAATTCCTGTTTGGTGCCAGCCTAAACTGGTCCAGTCCACCAGTGACCCGAAAAATATTCATTGGGTAAAATTAGGCCCTACACACGCAAACCACAGTGTGTGAGGAGCGTTATACAGAACAATTGCAAGTTACAAAATGTCTATTTTAATCATGATAGTTCTAACAATAATGTCATAACATGATTTATGTATTTATTCGGGAGTGGAGTCATGGCGCAATGGTTAGCACACTGTGTTATAAACCCAGCAAACTGAGTTCGATTACAAACTTCAAAGGGTTCCTGACAATTTGAAACATGCTCATAAAATGCACACTTTTCATTTCAGTTGGCCAACTTATACAAGACGAAGTACAACAGCACGTTCAAATACTGCAATGTGACTGGCTTAAGGTAAGAGCAACAATTTAATGACATTAAAGTACAGTAGACTCTCTTTTATCCAGGGTAATGGTGAGGAGAGGGGTGGCACAGATAAAACAAAAACACAGATAATGCGAAACATTTGCAAATTATGCGATAAAATAACAATTATTGATTTTTACGTAGAATGGGACAAAGACGTAGGATACGTCACCTGTTCTTCAAGCAATCGGTTTACTTGCCGACATGTTTGTGAAGCACCTGAGTCCCTGACCCGAGATGAGTAGCTGATAATTGAACTAGCGTGCCTAAAGATATTTTCTTTCTTTTTTGCAAGCAAGGTTAACTGCAACCGAAATAACACACCCATAGGTAATTGAGAGTTCATTGTACAGAATTATATACATACGTTTTATAAATAATGTTTTTGTATTTTTCCCAATGTTATCCCGATTGTGCTATCGGCATCGTGTCATGAGACAAAGAATCAGTTTGGATCTCTCTTAGTTTTAGGGAACGGCCCACGGAAGTGGATATCACAGAGTTATCACTGAGATCCCTTCTTCAAGTAACCCCTAGTCCACACAGGAGAGGGCAGCAGTTGCCTACATGCTCTGCATATCAGAGTTCGATTCATCTCATGACATTCAAACCAATATTTTAATTCTCTGAGCTGGAATTTAGCCAAAAATTAGTTGCAGAAACAGATTTAATGATGGATTTTTTTTGTGCAGTCATTTCTGGCTGGGCTGAGACCATGAACTCACTATACTCGAGAACCCAGTTTAATCATGGTTGGCCGATACCTGGATTCTAAACCTCAGCATCTCAGCATTGCCAACTTAGCACTATGAACGTCTGAGCCACCCAGCCATCTCTCATACTTACGTTTGGTGAGGACAGCATTCTATTCAATGATGATGTAGCCCCCTACATATAAAATATTTGTACTGCAACTCTTAATGTGTATTTATACACCTAGACCTTCCTGTGAGAAGCATGTATGAAGCTTTTTTTTAAATCTCAGGTCAGGTGAGCTATCGAGTCAAGAGCAATTTCGCCAGGGGTACCGAAATGCGAGCTTGGCTATAACATTAAAATCTTTTTTTTCTTACTAACGAAGCTTTGAACTTGCGTTGGGCAAGCCGGGACGCAGCTAGGTACGCATGCATAGCAGCGCTGCTCAGCAGGCTTTTTTCCACCACAGAAGCCAAGCCGTGCCGCGACGTCACACCATTATAGGCGCACGTAGATGACTCGGCAGCGACACTGTGTGCATACATTGTGCTGACTGATATCGCACACAATGAACGCCAGATGCCTTGTGATACCAGCAAAGCATGGTTAGGTTCTGGCTTGGCACAGAAAATAGGTAGTTGATATCCACCCGTAGTGCCGTGAAGGCCCATCACTGGCTCAACTCGGATATGCCAGTGGAAAAGGGGTACAAAAGAAAATAGCTGTCTAGAAATGGAGCCACTATACTGCTTGGTGCTACATGCTGGAAATAATTACATCCGTCCCGATTGTCTGTGTGTCCATCTGTGTGTGTCTGTACGCTTCAGGACACTTCCTGTCTTCACGAAAACTATTTTTAAAAACATATCTAACCCAATTGCTACACATCTAATCAAACAGCTCGCCAACACCAATACCAAACTCACCACCTTACTCCACAATTGAGATGTGGTTGCATAGACGCTATAATCCAGTGTAATGTATTTAATAAACGTACACAGATTACACAAGACATATCTAGACTTACACACAGAACCACAGACTCACATAGGGACATACTTACACAGAAAGCCATATATTTACACAGAGAACCAAAGACTCGCAGAGACCCATATACTTGCACAGACAGACAGTCTCACATCGGGACGCATAGGCTCACAGAGACTCATACTCACACAGACCAATATACTTACGCAGAGACCAATATACTCACAAAGTGACCCATAGACTATCAGAGACTTATGACCGCATCTTTCCCACTATAAAATAAATATGCCCACTGTTTCTGCATAGCATGTTGAGATGTGGTCGGTCGCTTTTGGACGCTATGTAAATCCTCATTGTACTGTATTGATTCACAGAGTTCAATAGACTCCAAGCGATCCCATAGACTCCCATCAATACGTCTACCCTACTGCATCGTTATCTCTAGAAAAAAAGGCTCGTCCATTATTTCTGTATGGCTTCTTGTGATGCGGTTTGGCCACATTTAGACTCTATATACAAATACACTTTGCATTGGAAACTGTAATGTATTGTCCTGCCAGCTTGTTATTTGTGTAGGGTGCAGTTGTACAACCGTAGTTCTGTTTAACACCTCTGCGTGTGTGTCTCTTTCTCTCTCACAGAATCGGATCTATCATCGTTGACTGCCACTGCTACTTCTCTAACAACACCACGAGTGTGCCAGACATCAAGAACACATTCGCTGACGGCACTGGCGGAGTCGTAAATCTCGGAGACTATCAACTCTCTCCCAACAGCCTCCAAGTCGACCGTACGTAGTGTCAGCAGGGCAGCAGAAGTTCCTAGAGGCCCACTGTAGAATGCCATTAGGGGCTGACTTATTTATATACACACGTCCTATTTTCATATTCCATGGACGCTTCATATCACAATAATTTTTATTTCCAAAACGGTATTCCTTATCAAACTATTAATGGTATCCTTCTTGAATTAACAAAAAGTTATACAATTAACACCTTGCTCTTCTACATATTTGTGACCTGCATATAAAATACTTTAAGAAAATCGTTGTTAGTATGTGCCACTCTGGTTGATATAAATTCGGCATTTTCAGGCCAATAGCTCAATGACCATTTAGGCCCTATGAGTCACATTTTCATCACGGTTGCTGTCCACTGGCACAAAGACCTATAAAACACCAAGCGGCCAGAAGCAAACACCATAATTAAAGTCATAATTGATAAGAGTTGACTTGTGATGAGCCGCAATTGCCGTGCAAACTATACCACTGTCTAATGCGCCTACTCAAATTTCACACGTGTTTGTATTTTCTTTTGTGCAGAAGACAACATTCTGGTTTCCACAGCAGCCCCTACCACGACAAAGCCGATTTACTCTGCAATGAAGCCGCTGCCATATTGGATCATATTCATCATCGCACTCTGCTGCCTCCTGTTCGCAGCGATGCTCTTACTCTGCCTACTGATGGTAAATAGAGCAGCCCGACACACGTTACGCTCCAAACACATGGATACAATAAGTCACCCTATGTTTCTGAAACCTGAATTCTAATTGTACTTTGAGTAATATAAAAATAAGCTGCCCGACCCTACTCACGATCCAGGGAATTCATTATTTGATGTGGATTTATGTTTGCGTGATATTTTTTTATTTCTAACCTGACACCAGTTGCTTTAATGCCGATTTGTATTTGCTTCATTGCTCTAATTTATTTGATTTGTTGTTGTCATTTTGGTGACCTAAGTTGATTTTGGTTCAATCAGGTAAGAACTCAACGAGACCAGGATGTAAGTCTCATTTGCAAGAGTAACCGGGGTTACCAAATATGACAAAAGGAAAAATGTACAAACTATAACAATGAAGCACATCGAAATCAGAGAGAAAACCCTGAACCGCCTTACAACTAAAAAATACTGCACGTAAAGAGTATATAAATACATTCCTGTAATGAAAACTAAATCTAGATTTAAATTTACTTCTTTAGAACTGATTTTATTGTTTAGTTTGTTGTCCTTCCACCGCACCTCCAATTCGCACGGTTGTTCAACATATATATACATGCAACATCGGTTAAAAACAAATGAAAAAAGTTTTCGGAATACAAGTTAAAGATAAATTATAATGGAATGTGGGTGATAATTGGACTAGTAAGTAAACAGGAAATAATAGTTAGCAGTTATTTCCATCTCTCTGAGTTACATACACACTAAATGTCTCACTAACACAGCCACCGTTGCTCCTTTTCCTCGATGTGGTCTTGTCCCTCGTTTTTCTAACGAGCTGGATGTCTCACTAGCACAGCCACCGTTGCGTTGGTTCGTTTATATTGGCATGCTAATCTCTCACAATACAATGACCACCTCCACAGCTGCGTCGTCGTCGTGGAGGTACATGACCGATCTTAGATTGACATGCAAATTCCACCTCTAGCCCCGCCCACTTATCCTTCGGCTGAGCCCATCTCAAGCCAATATAACTTCGTGTTTCAGCAGCTCTCCCGCTGTATTTTCTCCTGCCTCGGCAGCTCTCCTGCTATTGTTTTCACCTGATGACGATTGCTTGTGTTGCGATCGAAACGTCGTGATAATTTTATTATTTTTCTATCTACGTGGCTTTAACGAAAGACCCAAAGAATAAGACACACCCCCAGATTTGGGCTATTTTGAAAAAACACGTGTTTTATCATTGGAAGAATACAGTTCGATGGAGAGCCATCTTCCATAAGAGGATTATGAACATGATGTTTTGAAATTTGGGGAGATATGTCTTCTCGAATTAGATTCTAAATGGCTGGTGATATCGTCTGCCATACGAGTAGTCATGCATTGCTATGGTGACCATCTTCCAGAAGATGATTTAAACAATTTTGAACAAGGCTACGCATTAAACTTAAATTAAACAATTAGATTAAAATACATCTTCCAGAAGACAATGTAGTCTCCAGATTATATGTCGAACCTCAAACTTTTGCTTTAAAATACAGGGGACAGTGTGACATAATCCGGAGAATAAAGTAGTACTACTACACATTATTAGCACAACCAATTTATATTAAAGCATGTTGCAATTCTACTTACAACAATGCAATAAATCAAGTAGTAAAAGGGTGAGTGATGTACAAAAATAAATTCTGTCAAAATATATATTCCCCTTACCAATTGAAAAATATGCATTTTCATCATCATCATTGTACTATTTTATCCACTGTTGCTTGTCTTTAACCTATCTATATGCATCTCTACGAGTGTTTATCTATTTCTGAGTCTCGAGAGCTATGAATCTTGATGCGTCTCTATGCATCTCTATATGTGTATCTATGTATCTCTGTGACTTCTATGTATCTATATGACTCGATGGATTTACTAAATGGTCCATTATTTGGATTGAATGGCCACAATTGAACTGCTGTGGCTTGTCTTTAATTTCCCATCTGTGAAAGAGATGCGTGCATCGCCCTGTTGTTGTTCTGACGAGGTCGATGGTTACACCACCAGCATCTTCGAGGAGGAATGTTAAAGCCAGGAGGCCTTCTACAGTGCAGGGAAACGTGTACACTATGGTTGTGGCAATGGGGCCTTCCATCACATGTGTGTTTCTGATGATGTTGCATTTATACGTTTCTTTGCTTTTGACAGCTTTGTGTGAAGTACTGCCGGCACCACACGGGAAAATACCAGACCATGCAGCGACCCTGGGGAACCTACTACCCACACCTGGACTTGAGAAAAACGCACTAAATCTAGGGAGCAATGGACATGGCACGAGTCGCTCGCAGTGCATGATCCGTGAAGTTTGAACAAACGTAGCACTTTACTTAAAAAAAGAATAAAAAATATGGCGTTTAATAACTTAAAAGTGTGTATGTGTAGGTAGACTTAAACAATCTATCTTTTTTATATATATGAACTGTTTATGTTAAAGAATGTGGAAACCTTTATCCTTTTCCCGCAATATAAGTGGTATGTTGATGTAAAAATTCAAATATATATTTTAAGAAATGTATGCAAGCCGTATAAGTTACAATGTATGTTATTCCATTTCTGTTAAGCATTCACTATTAGATTTGAAAGTTGTGTTATGAAATGAATGTTTGCTTCTTTTATGTGGGAATTTTTAGTATATATTTTATTGCCAATTATCAAAATGTCCATGAATTTACATGTAATGCTTTACATTTCGAGAGCCATATATGCTTGGGGGGGATGCTAGGGCTTTTATTTGGATTTTTTGCTTTTTTCCATATGGCTGGGCCATTTAGTTTACATTTGTATGCTACTCATGTATCGTTTCATTTCTTAACTAACTCAGGTGGTTGGCGTTACTGTTACACTTTTAGCTAAACTCGTATTCTTGCAAGCAAAATATAATTGAAAGATGTCCTGAAAAAAGTTGATAACCCACCTAAAAATATACCATATTCTCCAAACTATCAGAAATTCTAGAAAGTAAGACGTATCCAACACATGTGCTCCAGTGTCAATAAAGTTCTGCAAATCTTGTCACACTCCTACCAGATACTAAAATTTACCCCTAACTTTTGCATTAGATTTCAAGGAAAAAAGCATATCATAATACAGAGAATATGGTATATACAGTACAGTATTTTAAAAATAACCCACACTGGCACTTTGAAATCCACTGTTAATCATTTGGAGCGCAGCTCTTCGATGTGCGTGTTGTTCGGAATGATGTCCGACGTTTCAGTCAACGTGCTGGGGGATTCAGAAACTAAGAGATCATGCCAAACAACACACCCTGCGGTGCAACCGTAAAACACATTGGAACGCTGCTCAGCACAACCGTGAAACCGAACGCAGTTTGTATCTTGCACGATGAACTTAAACATTCAAAAAAAAATATTCCACTTAACCTGCTTATCATCTCAACAAAAGCCTACACTTTTTGAAACAATAACAATGTTGTGGGTTATCAAAATTATTCCAGGACATTCTTCAATTATCATAATAAAAGTAGATTAGAATATAAAAAAATATATATATAAAATATAAAAAAAAATCTATCAATAAAAATATTAATAATATTTTCGTGTGTGTCTTTTATTTGTTGTTGACAATGATGACTAAAAATGTATATCACCACATCTGCAGTATATGAATTGTATTACTTATCTATATACAGTATGTCGCTTATCCGACTAACTGGAGACTGAGGTATAGGCGGATATGTGAAAAGATTTGTGAATGTCTGTATAAAATGGCATTTAAATCATGCATAAATAATGCACAAAGTGGATCTGCAACAATGGGATATGCGTTCTGTAAGGTTAGAGTGAAATAGAACGTCCGGTACCCCTTTACGATTACGAGTCCAGTGAATCTGTACGGTGTAGGAGTATAGAGACTTTTCACCCACCCTGTAGATAGTGGCTAACATCTCTACCATATTTTTAGTATGGCCAAGTCACTCTGAATGTGCCTAATCTTGTCGGATCTCAGAAGCTAAGCAGTAATGTGCTTGGTTATTACTTGGATGAGTGACCACCACCAGAACTTACCAGGTGTTGTAGGCATGGGGCTGCAAGGTATGGCCAGGAAATGCCGGTGCTGAGTGTCACCACTCATGTATACTTTGATGGGTTCTCCGTTTCCTCCCACATGGATCCAAACCTCCATTCAAATATAGGTGGTCAACTATCCCAATGTAGCAGGACCCTCTTAAATGAGGTGGGATCCAACTCAGTTTGCCGGTTTATAGTGATGTACTATAATCACTGTCTCACAGCTCCCCATACACACTCTATAATCGCCAGTAGCCATAGTCTGTCCACAGCTGAATGAAGATCTCCCCATGTCGTAGCCATATCTCACGGCCCTGCAATGTGACAATTCATACCTGCTCTTACCAAGCACCTCTTGATGACGGCACAGCACAAGTGTTCAGGGCGGGTCTAACTGTGTATAAAAAAAGGGACTTTCATGTACACTTTTGTGATACCAGTGCACCGTAACTGCTGTAATGGAGTCGGAAGCATTGATGGATGGGGGAATTGAGCCCCATAATACGGCAGAAGCAGAAGAGAGTGTTTCCTTCTACTGAGCGGAATATTGTCTGGGGGCTTGACAGAAAGCATTGGTTGCTGGAGCAGAGAGTGTATGGAGGGGCATAGAGTGAGATGAGATGGAAGACAGAAGAGTATGTGGAGTGAAGGAGGTGAGAGGTAGGAGAGTGCGTGGAGGGAAGTAGAGAGACGTCAGAGATAGCAGAGTGTGTTTATTCTGAGATGTGAGAGTTAGGAGAGTGTGTGGAGAGTAGTAAAGTGAGATGATAAGGGGCAACTAGGAGAGGTAGGCAGGGTTGAGTCCATAGAGATTCTTGAAGATGGTGAGTGCTATCGTGAAATTGATCTGGCATTAGGGCAAGCAGAGGGCTCAATATTTAAAAGATGTGGTTGCGTTTATGGGTGCAGGTGAAGTGTTTGCCAGGGGTGTTTCCCAGGAGTTGAGTCAAGATGTTACAAATACATGGATGAGGGTCTCGCCAGTGGCTGGGGTGAGCTACAGTGGTTGCGGGAGATGTTACTCAGAATAAAATGGGGGTCATTGTGTCCAGCTGGGTGGACACCACCATAACTCTCCCCTGACGAAACACGCACGGTTCACTACCAAATGCGACAACATACACGGAGGAGTTCACTGATGGAACTTTGTCCAAATCTTTGAAGGAAATGTGAGCTCATGAATCCAGTCTGGTTAAACTCAGGATGGATCATAGGCAGTCTCGCCTGAACGTTTCAAAACGGTGCAGATGTTCCTTTGGAGAGCTCAATGTCTCGCAATCGCAGAAAAGGGAGGGAATAACTGCGTGGAGCAACAGGCCAGATCGTTTCCACAAATTGATATACAACCAATGAAAAGATAATGCGCATCGACTGATTCAGAGCGAGACTTCGGCTGCCAAACTGGAGTTGCTCATAAGCACACTGCCCAAGTACGGAAACTTCTCCACTCTCTCCACAACTGCCCCATCATATATAGGGAGTTGAGGGGGTGGAGTGTTTGATGGCACAAAATACCCAGGCAGGTGCTTTGTTTTTTTGTGGCGCTGATGGCAAGACCCCATATCTTAGTAGCATGCTCTAAAAACCATGACGTTACGATCATGACACAAGCGGTCTTCATCGGGCAAAAGGGGGGTTAGCCTCTAAAGGCAAACTGTTTATAAAGGTTTAGGGATGTGCGTAGCCCAAGTGTGTCAACAGCATGGGCGGGGCAGCTAATGTTAATGTGGAAAAAAACCCCGACACCAGCAGTAGGTCTACAATAATCAAAGGGCCGCCAGGCAATCATTGCACCTCGCTCCACACATCCGCACTGCTGATGGTGGAGTTTGACAAGAAAACACAAATCAAGTCATGACCCAAAGTGGTTGATGACATCTTTCCATTGATTGCTGAGCTAATGACCATCTTATTGGTTGAAATTGTGTCTATATATATGGATGGCTTCATGAACGAAACTTTGTTGATAGCCAGTAGGCTTGCAAAGTACCATCGTCTTCATTAATCGAACTGACGAAACGGTTTTCCTTAAAATGTTCTGCTTCTAGACCACCCAGATTATATGGCTTACCAAAAATCCATAAAGAAGGTACATCCCTTCGTCCCATCGTCTGCACCATTGGCTCACCCACCTACAAACTGGCCCCATAACTTTAAAAACAAACTCTTAAAATAACATACAGCAATTGTACAATGTTCAACTTTACCTCAGCCCGGATGTTAAAGTAACGGCGGCTATGTTTGCACAGGGGCTCGATGCAACAATGGCAGCCATAATACAGGTTTTTTTTTGGGGGGGGGGGTTAGATCGCGTAAATATAAATGTGGTGTCGTTTAAACATGCCAGCACCACCCGACACAGCCAATTAGTAAGGTTTATCACGTAAACAGAACGTGCCAACTCGTTACTAATACAGCACTAACCGGTGTGGCAGCCATTTTGTATCGGGATTGTTTTTCTGACAGCTGATTGGCCGGTGGAGCACGAGCGATGACGTATCCATAGCAACGCTATTTTTTGTGTGTAATTGTATGTGGCTAGAGCACAGAATTGTTGTGTTTTGTGTGGAAATGCGTGCAGCCGCGGTGCAACAGCAACTTTACCTCAACCACAGCCCGCATGTTGAAGTCACGGCCGATATTTTTACACAATGATTCGATGCAACAATGGTAGACATAATACAGGTTTTTTTGGGGGGGGGGGGGTTAGATCGCGTAAATATAAATGTGGTGTCGTTAACCCCACCACCACTCGACACAGCTAATTAGTAAGGTTTATCACGTAAATAGAACGTTCAAATTCGTTATGAGTACAACACTAACGGGTGTGTGGCAGCCATTTTGTATCGGGATTGTTTTTCTGACAGCTGATTGGCTGATGGAGCACGAGCGATGACGTATCCATAGCAACGCTATTTTTTGTGTGTTATTGTATGTGGCTAGAGCACAGAATTCTTGTGTTTTGTGTGGAAATGCGTGCAGCCGCGGTGCAACAGCAACTTTACCTCAAACACAGCCCGGATGTTGAAGTCACGGCCGCAATTTTTACACAAGAATTTGATGCAACAATGGCAGACATAATACATGTTGTTTTTTGGGGGGGTTAGATCGCGTAAATATAAATGTGGTGTCGTTAAACCCACCATCACTCGACACAGCCAATTTGTAAGGTTTATCACGTAAATATGTGCCAACTCGTTACTAATACGGCACTGACCGGTGTGTGGCAGCCATTTTGTATCGGGATTGTTTTTCTGACAGCTGATTGGCTGGCGGAGCACGAGCGATGACGTCTCCATAGCAACGCTATTTTTGTGTGTAATTGTATGTGGCTAGAGCACTGAATTGTTTCGATTTAAAGCTTTCGTGACTGCAGGGATTCATCTTCTTGGATTCTTTCGGTAAAGTCACGTAGAAGGGAAGTAATAAAATAATAAAAATAAAACATATTATTATTTTATTACTTCCCTTCTACGTGACTTTACCGAAAGAACCGAGAAGATGAACACTGCATTGTTGTGTTTTGTGTGGAAATGCGTGCAGCCGCGGTGCAACAGCAACTTTACCTCAACCACAGCCCGGATGTTGAAGTCACGGCCGATATTTTTACACAAGAATTCGATGCAACAATGGTAGACATAATACAGGTTTTTTTTGGGGGGTTAGATCACGTAAATATAAATGTGGTGTCGTTAACCCCACCACCACCCGACAAAGCCAATTTGTAAGGTTTATCACGTAAATAGAACGTGCCAACTCGTTACGAGTACAGCACTAACCGGTGTGTGGCAGCCATTTTGTATCGGGATGTTTTTTCTGACAGCTGATTGGCTGATGGAGCACGAGCGATGACGTATCCATAGCAACGCTATTTTTTGTGTATAATTGTATGTGGCTAGAGCACAGAATTGTTGTGTTTTGTGTGGAAACGCGTGCAGCCGCGGTGCAACAGCAACTTTACCTCAACCACAGCCCGGATGTTGAAGTCACGGCCGATATTTTTGCACAAGGATTCGATGCAACAATGGTAGACATAATACAGGGTTTTTTGGGGGGGGGGGGGTTAGATCGCGTAAATATAAATGTGGTGTCGTTAACCCCACCACCACTCGACACAGCCAATTTGTGGGGTTTATCACGTAAATAGAATGTGCCAACTCGTTACTAATACGGCACTAACGGGTGTGTGGCAGCCATTTTGTATCGGGATGTTTTTTCTGACAGCTGATTGGCTGATGGAGCACGAGCGATGACGTATCCATAGCAACGCTATTTTTTGTGTATAATTGTATGTGGCTAGAGCACAGAATTGTTGTGTTTTGTGTGGAAACGCGTGCAGCCGCGGTGCAACAGCAACTTTACCTCAACCACAGCCCGGATGTTGAAGTCACGGCCGATATTTTTGCACAGGGATTCGATGCAACAATGGTAGACATAATACAGGGTTTTTTGGGGGGGTTAGATCGCGTAAATATAAATGTGGTGTCGTTAAACCCACCACCACTCGACACAGCCAATTAGTAAGGTGTTTGTCACGTAAATAGAATGTGCCAACTCGTTACTAATACGGCACTAACCGGTGTGACAGCACCGCTAGTGGAGCACGAGCGATGACGTATCCATAGCAACGCTATTTTTCGTGTGTAATTGTATGTGGTTAGAGCACAAAATTGTTGTGTTTTGTGTGGAACTAAAATCTCAAGCCTCAAATTGGCCGTTGTAGTTGCATAAATGTTAACCCATACGATTTACAACGTATTCTTGTACAGGGAAATTTTACTTTTCACGTCCATACGGCGTAAAGCCGTTTCAATGCGGGCAAAAACAATGTTTTGTCTATTCGTTTGTGTTTCTCCCTTGTGATGGAACTTTGTAGGATGAACTTTGAGATGTATAAGGGCACGGATGACCAATAATGTCTGTAACAAAGGGGTTGAGAGATACGATAAGTCAAAGAGTATTTATTTGTTTGTGTTGATATGAGCTAGTGCAAATCGTCGAGTTAGGATAAGTCATTATACACCTGCAGCCATGAGATGTATAAGGGCACGGGTTGAGGGCCTCCCCACTCCATGCTGGCCGTAGGAGCTATATACCTCAGAATCAGAATATTGATTAATACTGGAGGAATCCGATGAGCTATAAAGCTCTTTTTTGTTTTACAGATGTCCAGTCGGGACGGGTAAGACCTTTACAACAATACAAAAACATGAGGTTGTCGCCCATCGAATTACTACCCAGGCTTTCGTGACTGCAGGGATTCATCTTCTTGGTTCTTTCGGTAAAGTCATCACGTAGAAGGAGGATAATAAAAAAATAAAACATAATAAAATAATTCTCACGACGTTTCGGCCACAACGCAAGCAGCCGTCTTCAGGTGGAGAACAGGTCTGTCGAGAAAATAAATACATTTATTTATATTATTATTCTATTAAATAAATAAAAAGTATATTATTATTTATGTATTTTTATTATTTATTATTACCTACGTGCCTTTACCGAAAAAACCTAAGAGTAGGAATCATTGCAGTCACGAAAGCTTCAAATCTCGCTTATAAATTTTGATTTAAAGCTTTCGTGACTGCAGGGATTCATCTTCTTGGTTCTTTCGGTAAAGTCACGTAGAATGGAAGTAATAAAATAATAAAAATAAAACATAATAAAATTATTCTCACGACGTTTCGGCTTTACCGAAAGAACCAAGAAGATGAATCTCGCTTATAGTAACTACGAAATGTACTGCCGTACACCAATCTCAGTTGCGGTCGTAAAGACTACGCTCTGTCGTAAAACCCCATGCCTTGTTCGGAGGAAATCCGCTTTACGGCACCCTGCCAGGCGACCCACGGGCCTAAAGTGACGGTAAGAGTCTCGGTGTATCTTAGTCTCCGACAAAATATAAACAATTACAACATTTACGTTTCTCTCACGCGTAGCAGCTGCGTGGCATTACAGCTCGTAGAGCTTAAGGCTCGCGTCTAACGAGCGAAAGAGTGAGATTTAATGACACAGCTGCGATGCTAAATCTGCTGTTTCACTGTGCGGCCTTGTGTGGGCTCGAGATTTTATTGCAACCACAGCGGCGGATAATGAATGAATTAGTGGCCGATTATTGATAACTGATTGTAAATTGGTGCGAAATTAACGGGCAGTTAATGCGGGATCGGCATAAATATTCGCGAGGAAAACATTAGCTATCGGATATGTTGGCTAACAACATCGTCACGAGAAGTTCAATGGACATGGCCTGCATGATTAAAGCCTTAAGTGACATTAACGAAGGGTTCGAAGTGGGGTTAAAGATATCTATGGGCACAACAAGACGCGCGAAACAAGTGTCGCTAAACGATTGTACATCGTTGTCTTAGGGATACAGCTAGAGACGCTGCGCTAAGAATCCGGCTGCCCGAGTTCGATTCGGAGACAATTGTCTGAACCGGTTCTAGCTTCCCCTAGGTCCTTGACACGATGAATTAAGAAACAAGAGAGCGGTTTTTTAGTACTTTTGGGAGGCTGAACCTAATAACGAAACTTTAAATACCAATGTACCTAAAATAAGCACATATTTTAAAAGAGGCCATATAATGATTATTATTATCTGCTTTGACACTTGCATCAGGAAACCTCTGCAGTACATTGACAAATACATATACAATTCTGACAAGTGAGCATAGAAGCAAGAAGAGGGGCACGATTAAAATTACACTTGAGGCAGAAAGAGGAGGAACACGTTGATTGGACAACATATGCAGGTTATTCACATCATTAGAACTGTCAAGAACAAAAGCCAACGTCCACTAGGGAGATGGAGCGAATTTAGTCATTTTATGTTTAGAAGCTAGATGGATTCTTGGCTCGTGAGATAGGCATGATATTTTGGTGGCCTTCATCCGGCAGTGGATAGATGATGGGTTAGGAGTACGCTTATTGCTGTAAATTGGCTGTACTATTTTTCCTTGTATTTTACACGTCATCGCCTCCACACATGATCATTGTAACAACGTGTATATTCTTTTTCATTAACCTGGACATCTCTTTCTTTACAGACGTGTGATCACTGAACCGCCAACATGGTAGGACGTTCATGATGTTTTTGTTTTATCATAAAACCGCATTTACACGTATAGTATATGATTGCTTTGTTGATGGTGGAACAGGTGGTGGTGATCGTGGTGGTTGCTTGATTTGTTTATCAATGTCAGCCTGACATTTTGACTAACATTTTTTGTTCTCTGTCACTAGTCTCGCAGATATGATTCCAGAACAACAATATTTTCGCCGGAAGGTAAGAAAGAGCATATTTAATTTACGTGGAAAAAATTTTCCTTCAGTAATTGGTGGAATCTTCTTTTAACCATATTCGTTAGCAGAAAAAAACATAGACCTGTTTGTGTGTCCCAATACAAATTGCCTCTTAATACACTAAGTACCCAATTGGATGATTTAAAAATCAAAGGAACAGAGGCCTACTGTGGCCAGAGCATTAACCTATCCCTCTCTCTGCGTGCTGGAGTAAAGTAAGTGACGGCGGAGGGCGGTGTGCTCGCTGTGTGCAGGCCGGCTCTACCAGGTGGAGTATGCCATGGAGGCCATCGGCCATGCGGGCACCTGCCTGGGCATCCTCGCCACCGATGGTGTGCTGCTGGCGGCGGAGCGGCGCAACACGCACAAGCTGCTGGACGAAGTCTTCTTCTCTGAGAAGATCTACAAGCTCAACGAGTGAGTCGCCCGCAAACCGCTTGTTGTTGTGTTTAGTTTGTTGGCCTTCCTCCGCACCTCCCGATTAGCATGGTTGGCTACGTAAGGTGCGAAATACATTGATGGGGTGAGCAAATGCAACAGCAACACGAGATTTGGACGAGCGGCAAATGTTTTTGTGTGTTGGAGAACTCCTCCTGAACCACTCCACCTATGATACGTAGTTTATGCGTATCATTTTATTATTGGTCACGATGCTACTTATCCTCTCTAAACTCTTACAATAGCCTGGCACAAGACCTGAGCCCCATTTCACAATTGTGAAACAGAAAGGCACGTGCCATTTGGAGAAGGGTAAATGCAGGGGTATAAGGAGCTGTAAGGACCAGTGTAACCGTTTTCAAAATCGGTTACCGGTTGTTGCTTAACAACGCTAGTGTATACTGGTGTCTTACGAGGATCAGGAAAGTATCGTGTGTCATTACGTTTCCCCGTCCGTGGGATAGTCTGTCTGATAGTTCTGTTGCTGTGATGTAAGTTAACGGTGGGCTTAACACTCTATAACAAGTCTTGGCAGTAGTAAAATGGTTATCATTAAGTATGCTTTGTTAGCTGTTTCACGTGGAACATATATTTGCTTATGTTGTTGATTTTTCTTTGTTTATCAGGGACATGGCGTGCAGCGTCGCAGGGATCACGTCTGACGCCAATGTCCTCACAAACGAACTCAGGGTAATCGCACAAAGGTAACTCCTCCGCTCTTGTCTAATATTTAGGCAACCCCCATTCTATGGGAACCTCATTTGCCAGTAAAAATATGATAATTGGTTTTTTTACCCTTCTCTCTGGCAACAAAACTGACACCTTTTTACAAGGAGTCATGTTTGCATAGACCGCAATACCTGCAGTCATAATACAAACAAAAGAACATAACTCTGATAATGTGCACTGTCCTTGAAGGAAAGTTGTCTCGGGTGTGGACCAATCAACTTCAAGGACAGTGCACATTATCAGAGTTATGTTCTTTTGTTTGTATTATGACTGCAGGTATTGCGGTCTATGCAAACATGACTCCTTGTAAAAAGGTGTCAGTTTTGTTGCCAGATAGAAGGGTAAAAACCAATAACCCACATTCTTTCGCGCATCATGTCTTAATATTTAATATGTTCATATTTTTTTTATCAAATTAGGTATTCTCAACGTCAAGTGGTCATCATGGCCAATTCTGTTGGTGCCACCATACCTCAACATGGCTTTGTTCGTATAGATCCCATAGTTGGTTGAAAGTCGCCACCCAACCATCAACAAGCTATACTACAGTCTCGTCGCCACCAAAATCTGTATTTATGTTTTCAAATTGTCAAAACATTGTTCAAGAGACCAGTCTTAATTGAATCGCCACCGCCATCTGGCTCTAGGTCTTCCTTTTAGTGGCCTATTCCTAATCCTGGTTATTCCTGGAACTATTCACAAAGTAGCCTGCCAGCATTAATGCAAATGAATAACATTTGTCTTTCACAATATCTTCAGTTGTATGGGTGAGGACATTTTTGTCAAGTTCCATTTGAAAAGCGAGTTAATGATAATTGTGTTTGTTTCGTGAATCCCACAGGTATCTGTTTCAGTACCAAGAGCCGATCCCTTGCGAGCAGCTGGTCACAACACTCTGCGATATCAAACAAGCCTACACACAGTTCGGAGGTATGGCATGCCAAAGACGATGGAGCAGATCCACTTCAAATCCTGTTGCATACATCAAAACATCAGAGAGGCTACTATCGAGAGGAGGCCGTTTGGTCCATTCAGCTCGCTTGGGCAGGAAACCACAGACAAGCAGGAAGGCAGCCAGAGACTGCATCCAATAATTTCCCAAGCTCTGGTCTGTTAGTAGGGGGGATACTTGCTATGTCAATTTAATATTTTTTTTAAATTTGGACCATGACACTGGTACACATTGGCCTATTCTTGTAAAAGACGTCCTGTGATCGTAAATGTTCACTGTCAGTGAAGCAGATGGCGCGTAGTATTTTATATGGTTATTACACCCATAGTATTATTCAGGGCAGCCGCTGAATTCAAACCACGAACCTCTGAAACAAGCGTCGAACGCGGTATTGGCTGCGTCACCGCCATGATGCATATGAAATGATGAAAATGTCGACTGTCACCCCAAATGCATGCGTTTCCTCCCAGATCAGGCACATTGCTGGTGATTGTTGTGCGCAACGATGGTGTGTGAATCGCTGGGTAATTGTGATCCGAAACATTGTGTTTTTCCTGCGAAGGCAAGCGGCCGTTTGGCGTTTCCATCCTCTACATGGGCTGGGACAAGCACTACGGCTACCAGCTCTACCAGAGTGACCCCAGCGGAAACTATGGAGGCTGGAAGGCCACCTGCATCGGCAACAACAGCGCGGTCAGTGCGGCACCCCTGTCAAGCGTGTCAATGCTTACTCTGCGCAAAACATAATTCTTCCACCTCCCACTCACGATATTGTCTCCATTCGACATCATTGTCAGTGCTGTACCCTCCGGCTTGCATGCTTGGCAACTCAAGAGGGGGCGATCATGTTAAGACTTCAGTTGTTAATTAGTTGTGCTGTCGACATCATGCAAATAATTAAAGTTTAACAAGGTAAATAGAATCAGAGAGATCAGGATAGAGTATAATTTGCAAGAGTGGTCTGTGTCACCAACATGACAAAAGCAAAATAAATAAAAATTGGAACAAAAAAACTGCATCATATGATGAGGAGGAATTGAAGATACAGCAAACGCAATTCCCTGCAGCGCAAATCGACTTGGGCAGATCATCTCCGGGTTGAACAGAACAAAGTACACAACTACGCTGCGGAAATATTAAACAGATATAGGGTGACTATTATACTCATGAGTAAACAAATGATATATACGTCAAAGACATCCATTACGAACCCTCCAGCTATCATCAGCCATGTTTTTGTCACCTTCAATAGCTGTCCATTGTGCACGTATTATCACGTTTTTTCCAGTTGTGTCCCTCCAACCAATGTCACCAATTGTTTACCGAACTTGCAGCCCGTGTTATTTGTTTCGCTAAGGTCACATACTTTCACGGGCAGTATGAAATCAAGTCACAGTCTTTGTGCAATGAAGTTGCATGGTGCATCAAATGAAGCAGCAGGACGCATCTGGCCCATGGACCATAGGTTCCCCACCCCTGGTCTAACGTGAGCTGTCTGTTCCCCCACCACTCAACCTGTTGCAGGCATCCGTGTCGATGCTGAAGCAGGAATACAAGGAAGGAGATATGACCCTCCAGTCTGCTCTGGCTCTGGCTATCAAAGTACTCAACAAGACCATGGACGTCAGCAAGCTCACGGCCGAAAAAGGCACGCGTTCTTCATTCGTTTTCGTTAATTTTTTCCCCCAGTGTCATTCTCATTGTGCCATTGGCCTAGCGTTGTCACAAGACAAAATAGATTTCCGCTTTACGACACGTACAATTTGGATTGACGTAGTGTATACATTCGACCGCATCGCAAGATGCTGTTTCAGAAAAAGTGGGCGTACCGAGGATAAAGGGAAAGGTCTTCAGCTTGGCCCTGAACAGCCACAAGGAGTCAACATCTCCAAAGGCTATGGAACGTTAGTTCCAGACCATATGACTCAATTGGGATGACACATAGCAACCAGACAGCAATAATCGCCCCCTACTGGTAGACATACTTAATTGCAGGCTATAGTGCTAAATCAGCTTGTCCACGGAGGGACAGATGTTTCTGGGGGATGCTCCTTTCAAATTTGTTAAGTAGAGATTCTATGTAAGTCGCGTGTAAAACACTATGAGACGCCCTGGCATGAAGTAAGGTGGCTCCAGAGTGTGCGTGGAGGGGACTAGTGTGAGATAAGAGGTAGGAGAGTGCGTGGAGGATCTTGAAAATGGTGAGTGCGATTTTTTAATTGATCAAGGATTGCATTAGGAGCCAAGTGGGGGGACGGGTATTGGGGTGATGTCTCATTTACAGGAGCAGGTAAAGCGTCTAATCGTGGAAAATAAATCTGGGTGGCTGCAGGTCACTGCCTTGCCAAGTAATCCCATGTGGAATACCAGGTTTCCAGGAAGTTACTAAGTCGTTAAGAAAATGCACATTATAATTACGTAATCATATTGCGTTTTTAACTTGTCCTTGCCTTCGTTTCCCTCTGCAGTTGAGATCGCCACCCTGACTCGGGAGAACGGCAAAACCAAAATCAAGGTTCTCAAGCAGAAGGAGGTGGAGGCCCTCGTCAAGAAACACGAGGAGGAGGAGGCCAAAGCCGAGAAAGAGAAGAAGGAGAAGGAACAGAAGGAGAAGGAGGGGAAGAGTAGCTAGAGAACACGTATGCGTGCAAATTCCCACGGTGTCGCCACTGAAGCACAGAATGTCCTCAAAGAACCAGGCTAATTCAGCGGCGTGCTGGGGTTGCCCCAGTATATAAATGCGTTTTCTTATTAAACAAAAAAATCTCTGTTATTTTCATGAAGACCAAATCGCTCCCAATGTACAGCTGGTAAAGATATTTATATTGCTGTTTATGTGAAAGAACGCAATATAAAAGAAAAGGGGGATAAAAAAAACGACACTGAAACCCCACTGAAAAGTCACGATCAATTCCGGCACACATTAATCCGTTGTCGCTGCAGTAGTTGCCGTACGAAACGCCGGCAGCGGACTGGGACCGTGCCGATGTGTGATGCCTGCACTCAACGTGGCGGCGCAGCGTCGGGAGTGTGATTATGTCAACCCCGTTTGCAGGAAATCGATTCAAAAGCAACTGTGTCTTCACATGAGAAATCTAACAATATTGCACAAACAAGTCAATATTAACGAATGAATTTCTTGGAGTATAACATCGGCTCTGGGTGATCATTAGAATATCGGTGGTCACTTGGAGCGAAATGTCCTGCGTGCCAAACAACACGCGGCACGACCCGGGAACTGACCGGCGAGCCGTGCAGCACAACCATCCAACCTTACACAGTTGCATTTGTGGATTTGTGTTTTAACTTTTTGGGTCAAATTTTGGGGGGCGGCAGTGGTGGGAGGGGGGTTGTGTGCTCGGGAGCAAGTGAAAATAAGGAGACACACCTTTCTGAAATGGCCATGCCTGCCTCGTCCCAAAACGGTAGAGTTTTTTGCGCTTGTTTGACTTCGAAATGTGTGCCCAGATGCAGTTGGCTTTAATTAAGGTTCATTGTTGACTCGATGTGTTGTCCCGTTCCAGCCAATAAAAGTGAGATGGTGATATCACAGACTTTTGATGTACCCTTCAATAGGTCTACTCACTGAATGGTTTCTGGATTGCAAGTCAATTGTGCAAAACATTTCACCACTGTGGCAGTTAAAATGTTAACGTGTTGTGTAGAGTTCTCCAGATATTAATATGTGTGGCAAACTGGTATTAATCAGTAAACAAAAATTATTCCGTTACCGGAAATGCAAAAACAAACATTTAACCCTTTTATGAACAATGTAAAACCAACCCAATCGGTCGAAGGGTGTCCCAAAACTTGAGACAAAGGAAGTTTAAAAGTGCCGCAGCGATGGCTCTAGGCATGAGCACAGGAATAGGATGCTAAGTAGTTTAATGGACCCAGGATTCATATAAAAGTTACGAGTGAAGCATAGCTCAAATCCTGCCTACATCTCAACACGTCCATTTCCTCTGCATCTTCTCTCATCTATTATTTCTACGTGTCATTGACATGTATCTCATCTCGCTACATCTCTTATGTGATCTCACTCAAGAGTATACATTTAAAGGGGGGGGGAGGGGGGCTGCAAAAATAATGTCTGCCTAAGAGCCCCCGAGTGGGCGACTACCACCACCCGTCATGCATATGCATGATTTTTCTTACTCAGCCTTGAGTGTTTGAAAGTTGACGGAAACTGACAGCAGTGGATAGGTAACTCCACACCAACGCGTCTTGAACTCCTTACGACCCACCGCTACTGTACGTCACTATGTTTGCCACGCGTCTCCTCTTCACCACACTCGGTGTTTTGAATGATGGCTATGCACAGGTTGGCCCAAAAGTCAGGACACAGGGTGATTTCATTTATCTTAATGCTGGCATTAACACATTTTCTTAATTTAATGTGTTGTCTATATGAATATCTTATGTTTCTTCTTACTGTGGGGTCACCTCAAATCCATCATTTACAAGACTCGACTAAAAACCCAGAATGAATTGAGACGAAACTATTGATGAATGTAAAAAAATTACATCTGAACTCTCAAAAAAAAAGTTAATTCCCAAACGAATTCATGTTTGTAGAAGTGTTAATACTGGTAGGAACGAAGTGGACCAGACCACCCATAGATTAATGTGTCCGTCCGTCCGTCCGTGAGAGGGGTAGTGTTGAGGGTGGTGTTGGAAATAAAAGACTACGAGTCTTTAAATCTCACAGCGTTTCTTGTCAAAACAATCACTTTTAATTAACGTTACACTAGAATACAGTATTTTTTTCTTTAACTCCTCTATACCCGGTCGATATCTCTGTACCGGTACTAAGTATTATTCCTACCAGCCCACCCCGCAGGGTCCTGTTTTAAGTCAGTTTGAACATATGTTAACATGGATTAATAGCCCTATGTGATTTGTTAAAAGAAACAATTAACACGTGTGTCTTGATATTCGGGCCAACGGCGTCATTTGTGGTGTGATTTTTTCTTATTTTATTTTGGCAAATTTGGACCACTCTTGCAAATGACGTCTCCAGATATTTAACATCCACCGTGAGCGAAATAGTAGACTTCGTAAAGTGTTTAGTTAATACGCACTATAGTATTCATCAGAGCGGCCCGCTGGATCCGAACCGAGAACCTCTGCAACAAGCGGCGAATGTTGCCGCAATAGCTGGGTTACGTCGCCGCCCTACAAAGAGGGGCTCGCCACTCATCGATTGGAGATGGCAAAGGAATTGACGGCTGGCAAAGGAAGGGTTCTGCGATCGGCAAACTCACTACGCAGTTGGGTGGGCTAAACTCCAGGTGCAAACCCCCAGTGCAAATAAATTGTGACGAGTCCCAGTGCAAGGCTGACGTTCTCCATACCTCTTGAACTCATCAGCACGGGGTAACTGGATGATAAACGAATTAGCCGGGTGTGTGGTTTCACCGACAGCTGACATTACCACTGCTATGTTGTTCTACAAGAAACCTAACTCTGGAAATGCCGGTGACCTGTAATACAACCTTTTTTTAAACGTGGGGTGCGCCCTTGAATGTTGTACATTGCGTTTACGCCCTGCTCATTGTTGTATCGACTTGCTGGGCTGAGTTCGTGGGTCGTTGCGACGCCGAGCGACGGTGGCTACGCGGCACGTAGCTGCCTGTGATCCAGCGCTGGTGTGGAGGCAGCAGCAGCAGCAGCGAGGGTTGGTGAATCACGCACAGATGTCGTGGAACTCCCTTCCCGTGGGCGTCGAGGAGGGGTCCGTACACTGGCTGGCCAGGAGAATGCAGTCGAGCAAAATGTGAATGTTCATCTGTTCCATCTTCCATTCCCGTGGGTATCGAGGCGGAACAGTACATGTGGACCAGTCTGTTCCATCTGTATGGGATATAGTGTTGCCCCCATTAACGCATGGATTTTTTTCCGGATGTTCCGGTGTCATTAATTGGCCGATAACACCGTAATATATATAGGCTCGCAGAGCTCAGCGCCCGGCTGCTGCCTTTCCCACTCGTCTGTGGTTGTCTTTTCGAGAGCGAGCGAGTTGACATTATTATTTACGCACCCGGCAACGCGAGTTTGATTCCCGTCCACGGCTAGTTACATGTTAACCTTCACCTCTTATTATCACGGTTGGCTGCGTATGGTACGAAAGAAGTTCAACACATCTAAACCAGTCCTGAGCCACCCTTTCCCCAATACACACTGACCAGCGTGGTGAAGTATGGTGAAACAACCACCTACCTGCAACACGGTGTGGGGAGGCCTTCATCCAGCAGTGGATTAAAAATAATTGACTTTGCATCAGTCAGCTGGAGGTCACGCGGGGTAATGCACAGAGCAGTGGTGCTTCTGGCAGTCACGCGCAACGCGCAGTGGCATTAAGCGCAATTCGCCTTGCGGGAAAATACTCAGCAAATCAAACACGCCGAGAAAATGCTTTTAAACAGACATTGGGTGTTGACTCTCTGATGTACAATTACACAGGCACCTCCATGCCAATATTGAGGTCTGCTCGCCACAACGAGGGTGCTTCGGGAGAGAGAGTTCGTGCAGTTGTGAAGGAGCGCAGACCGCAGTGGTTTACCAAACGGTCCGTAGGGCTCACTGCTTATCAGAGATGGCAAAGTCATTTATTTTTGGCAAATGAAGCCTCTGAGATCACCAACCCAGGCTCAGTCTTCAGCACGGACATCGTGTATACCCCCACGCCCCCCACCACGCCGCTGGACCATGTCCTGTGCGATGCTCGTCTCGAGTCAAAGGGCCCGCACGATATTTAACCGCGGACACCACTGCTCACCTTGTAGGGCATCGGCCGTGTATGTTTGGACAGGTCACATGTCAGCAGGTGACCTTTCAAAGGGCGCGTGTACGGCCTGCAGGACTGTAAATGCTAAACCCAGGGGCTCTCTCAACCCCACTGACACAGGTGTCAAACATTTCATATTTACGGCTCACCTGATATTTTGGAGTGACTTTTGCAAATGTGCATATCTTTGCGTGCGTGTCAGAGGCAATGGACGGCGTCTTAATGCTTCGGACGTTCTGCTACGAACTCGCCGATCCGAGTTCGATTCTTGCGCACGACCAACACCGGTGACGATTACCTGAATCGGTCCTGGGCCTCCCCGAGGTCAACTCAGCCTGAAATGGGCAACCTGGTGCGGTGTGTAAAAACCGCCACTAGGGAGACAAAGGCGGCCGGGTGTGGTGCTGGCCACCCACCCCCTCGTAAGCCATATCGGCCTGCATAGGTGCCCGCTAACAGCACTTTCCCCTCCAGTCTATTTTAGGCTAAACTGAGGATTTTTGTCAGAGGCAATGAACGGAAGAATGGCTTGTACGTTCTGCTATTAACCTGGTGACCTGAGATCGATTCGTGGTCATGGCTGACATCTTGTGCTGGGTCACTCCGAGGTCGACTCAGCCTTGCATTAGAACCTGGCGCTTGTTTTAGTAAATGCATCATTCGGGCATCAAAGGCGACGACTGGGCGTGGTATTGGCCACGCAACTCCCTCGAGTGCCGGTCCGGCCTTAATAGGCGCTCGCGAACAGCCCTTGCCCCAAGTGTGCACAGCTACGCAGGACGGTGTTTTTGTGTGCCTGGGTGTGTGTGTGCGTCAATCCGAGTTGCCCAATGTTTGGCGTTTCTTTGTGGCCATGGCCCTGAAAAAGGAAAAGTGGGGGGAGGGGGGGGGGATAGCTTTGTTTGTAAAGTTCACAAAATACAAATACCACCAACCTCCCTATTCTCCACCGTGGGTTAATTGCAAAGCGTGGGTGGTGGGAGTAAAGAGTGGGTGTTGTGTTGTCCAGGGTTTCTCAAACATCGCCCCTCTGTCCTTTGACACCACCGTGGAGGTTTGCATCTCTTTCTTTTTTTGTGGTTTTCCCAAAATGTTATCGGGTGTCACGTGACACGAATAATCCAATCGGATTTCTTGCAGAGGAGTGCAAGCCTTCGTGTCAGAGAAGAGCCCGAGGAAGTGGACATCACAGAGCTTCTTATTCAGTTTTAGTTTCATTTATTTGGTATGGCCCTGTGAGCCATTCGGCTCTTGAATCGGGTGCAACCGCAACAAACAAATAACATGAACAAGAAAACATCTTAAAGTGACTATGCGCAAACAGAAAAATCCAGGAAAAAACTGCAAAATCTTCCAGAAAAAGCACCGTACACCAACGCTGTGTGCAAATCTCAGTGGGATGCAAGTCAAATAACAACAACCACAAGACAACTTAGATTAAAGCCATTAGTCTAACACCGTACTACAACAAACAAACATGGCCAAACCAAAAACACTTTTCGAAATCACCAAAATAAAGCCATAAAAGCAATGTAACAGGACTTTCACACCCACCATGTTAATCAAATAAATATTTAAATTCTGAGAGCTGTAATTTAGCCAAAATTAAGTACACAGCACTGTTTGATCAAATTTTACGTGGTTTTATTTTGTATGTGCAGTCGTTGGAGACCGGGCTAAGATTATTAAATCACCACACTTGATAACCAAGTTTATTCGCAACTCAATCTATGTGAGTCTATGGGGTCTCTATCTGACTC